GAAGAGGATTCATACTTTTCCCAAGGGTATTAGCACATAAGTGAATGTGCTAATCACTTACTTGGTGTAAAACAGCTTCAACTGCAACCTAGCTCGCTGAAGGAGCAAAGACAAATCTATCTTAGGAACCCAGTCCCCTAATAAAGTGAAATACATAAGCTATGAAAAAAGAACATAGAATTAACTAGAGACTGACCAATACTTGGGCAGGAAAGTAAACTAATGATATGCCATTACTGTCAAAATCAGGGCACAGTATAGCAAACTGTTGAACAATGTATTAAATTGCTCAGCGCTTAATAAATGATGTAATGGAATAACCTGTCACCCCTATGAGTGACTACACTATAGGTAGTAACTATCTATAAGTATCTGTAAGTCAACAGACTACAGAGACTAGCCGAAATCTTTTTTGGCTAGACAGTTGAACTCTCTACCTTTGAGCAGAGAGGAACCTGGACGAGGCTCACCCAAAGGGCAGAGTCTCGTTCAGGGAGGTTGACCAACCCGATCACGTTATGTGGGTTCTACAGGCTATTTTTGGCCAAGCTTACAGGCTCAGAGAACCCATGTTAAACCCAGCCTTGTGCCACATGCAACCTTTGTGGGGGTGAGGGCTAAATATTCTAGATGAAATCTTTTCAGATAGACGGTCCAACTCTCTGCCCAAAGGTAGAACCCGGACAAGGGCAGAGTCTCGTTCGGGGAGGTAGCCCAACCCTATCCCATTTATGCGGGTTCTACGGGGATTTTTTGGCCTAGCATACGTGCTCGGAAGACCCATGTTAAACTCGGCCTTGTGCCACATCTACCCTCGTGGGGGGCTAGCAAATATTAACTAGCTGGAATCTGTTACTCAGCTCTTAGCTGTTGTCAAACTTTCTGCCTGAAGGCAGATAGGAACCTGGATGAGGCTATGCCGAAGAGTAGAGTCTTGTTCCTGGAGGTAGAGAGACCTGAACCTGTTTATGCTGGGTTTATGTGAGATTTTTGTCCGAGCCTACAGGCTCAGATTGCCCCACATTAAATTTGGTCTTGTACCACATCCTACCTCGTGGAAAGGTTGGTAAATATTACTAGCTGGAATCTGTTGAGTACAATTCAGACTTACATGAGAACTACTGACCTTCCAATAATAGCACTCACTACTGGATTGACTTGTGACATCCTTGTGCATAACTGTTACCTTTATTCTTATTGTACTGGTTTTGTACAATAAACCTTTACTTATTTTATCCACCTTGTTTTTCAAGTATATATTCCTATTAGCATGGAATATAGCAATAATTCAAAGGGATGCAGAACTGTGCATAAATGAGCAGATGTATATAGACCAGTAACAATGTTATTGAGAAATGATTTGGCAAGTGGAAAAGTAATCACCTCTTCTCCAACCAAACCAAGAAAACCAGTAAGAAAGAACCAAAGTGTATGGAAGAAGTTGTTTGAAATCTGGATGATATACATGGAGTAAATTCCTTTGAAACCAGGTGAGTTAGGTTGAAATAGGAATGCCAGAAGTAGGGACCAATGTGTAGCCAGAAGTTCAGGGCTGTTGTGAACAGGTCCTTTAACGTACATGATCACCATTTAAAATTATGATTTGCCTTCATTGCATTTTCAAACTGTCCATAGAGATATTGTCAAACCAACTCCTCCAGTCCATAATGATTTGGATTCATATTTAAATATAATGAATATCTTTTAATGTGTATAGACCATACAACTTGTTGAATTGAGACTCAGCAATTAACTGAAATTACCACACAATCAATAGCTGAAGGTTTTACAACTATATGCATAACAAGATTTATAGTTCTCTCTGTCATGTCTCTGTCAGTAAAGTTGAAAATAAGTTGTTTTCATAAATGGAGAACAACTGTTTACCACCTACAATGTAATGGTTTAATACAGAGAGCATGCAGAGCATATAAAACTGTAATTATAGCTCATAAAGTATCATAACTCTCGGTATTACCAATTGTTCTGCTTAGTATAGGCAGTACAATTCATGAATCAGGTTTCTCACCATTTTGTATAACTGGTTCCTTAATATTAATATCGAACACAATGAAAGATTATTCATTGAATACTAAATTTACTAAGAATTTGTACGAAATCATGCTGCTGTGGGTTAACCCACTTTACTATGCCAAAACACATGCTGGGGGTTTCTCTTTAAGCCTATAAATACACAATGTTATTCTCACTTTTTGGTCTTTTTAGTTCTAGCTTTCAGATGTAGTTATATAGTGGATTATCTGTTATAGTGAAGTGTATGAGTGTTGAAACAGATTAGTTTGATTTAGCCTTGTTAGTTAGATAGCCCACTATAAGAGGGGTATAAAACAAGAAAATCAAATTGTAAAGTGAAACAACAAATTTATAATCATATAAATCAATTAAGGTCTCTACAAGTAAAATAAATGTATTTTGGTTGATACAAGGTCATCAACATGTTCGTAGTAGTCCTTGCAAGAATGAGTTTATATGTGTACATATGCAGGAACATATGTGTGGATGTATGTATGTATGTATGTATGAGCGTTATTGTAGGGTAGGAATGTCTTTGAAGTAATCGCTGAGTCTTAAAATGTTCCATTCGTTTATCAAGTATAAGAGAGGTGAAGGAGAAGGTAGAGATAATAATAACAGTCGCTTGATGTTTGTCAAGGTACGTGTTAATATGCTCGTCTCCTTCTCTCTGGTGACAGGTGAACTTGCCCATCTTTTATTTTGTTTGTGGGGCTTAAAAAGATCATTTGAGAATTTACTCCCAGATATGATTCAGGCCTTTCCATTGGACAACGGACAAAACTTTGTGTTGGCTCGCGAAAAGGTCCATAAAAGAATTTGTTTCTGAGAATTGAAGATTATTTGAATTTTGTTTTTAAATGTTCCCTAGTTTTCTATTGGCCGAAAAACATTTCGCATCAAGGTGTGAAATTTCATGAGTTTTGTTTTGGATTCGCTTTTGCGTGTGTGTTAAGCAAAGTTTGTAAATTCGAGTCTTTTTAACTTCTAACAAAATCAATGAGTCAGTGCTTAGCATTTGGATTTTAAATCTAGATCTTGTTTTGTTCACTACAGTTACACATAGATAGGAATGCTGCTGACAAGGCACGTTTGCTTCTTTGGTTTGCCTTTGACTTTTGAACTCTCTCACACACTCATATATACACACGTGTCTATCACACACACTTGTTACACACACACACGCACATACTTCTTATAATGTTTTTTTTTTTTTCGTTACAACTGTCTAAACAAGTAATTCTTTTTGTTAATACATACATTGTCATTTGTTTTAAACCCATTGTTTTTTGTCACTCATAGCACTGCAATTGGATCTCATTGAATTTTTTGGAGGAAATACTTGTGCAAGTGAACTTATGTATTGTGATAAAGTGCGGCTTAGGATAGGTTGCATTAAGAAAAGTTTGTAGAGTCCTGTAACAGTTACTTCCAAAGTTATACAGCACTAAAACATTTTCTTATTGAAATTAATAATTATATATGTATCTGAATATCTGAGGACAGATTGAAATCTTGAAATCTTGAAATATTTGTACATAAAAAATATATTTAAGGGTGAAAATTAGAAAGAATTCTGTGGATAATAATTCAAACAATGATTGTTTGTGCATAGATAATAGGGATAGCAAGATTCAGAAGCAAACATGTGATAATACATGCAACAACTTAGATGATAGGTTGAAAATTACTAGTTCCAGTGATTTTGAACTGATCTCTTTTCTCTACTCTCCAAGGCTCCCTATAAGCATTAGTATATCCATGTATCCATGATGTATTAACAGCTTAATATGAGGGAAAGAATGACTAAATTTAAAAAAAGAGTTATACATGAAAACATTTTCTATACAACACTAAAGTGGAAAAATGCAAATTGTGCTCTGATACAATACATACATGTGTATGTGAATGCATGTGTATATGTGTGTGTATTGTTATGTGTTATATATTATACCTATGAACAACAATGGTTATGTCTCAATCCTCATAAATACGTTGGACACTATTGTAACTGACAGTAATATACTGTCTAAGTAGTCCACCACTAGCAGTGGTTTACCTACTTCACGCCGCTGGCGACTATCGTATTTTGTTGTTTTTTTAAAGATTACCATTTCATTTCCAACCATTTTTGATTATTTCTCATTCAGTAACCTTTTCTAGGTTACAACAAATTGTCCCACACAGAGAAATTAAAACACCTATAAATAAGTAAGCGAAAAAGAACAAATAAAAAGGTCTTACTTGTAATGTCCCGAAGAGGTACACATTACATCTCTGGCGATATGTTTTACATTCCTATTTAGGTCGCATATAAATTGTACTGAAGTCATGGTCAGTCGAACTGTAGCTGGTTACCACATTTAAGCAGGAACTGACTGTTTTCACGAACAGGCTGTAAAATGAACCTCAATGGCCCCTTAAAATATAAGTAAATTTGTCCTAAAAAAAGGGAGATAATCACTTTCTATATCTTTACAATTCCCAAGAAGCTATCTTTGCAAAGAGGAATAACTTTGATTTTTTTTTTCACAATTTGATTGTATACAAAAATTGTTCTGCAATTTAGGTGTGAAATAGTAATGTTAAAAATTTTATAATTAAAGCAGCTAGTTTATAAAGATTAAAGAGTCATATCAAAAATCCATGCGAAAAGATAAAATACACACACACACACACACACACACACATAGAAAATGGCAGACTCAAAAAATTTTTTTTAAATGGAAGTGTAATAGAAAACAGATCATGAGGCATCACATGAAAATAGCTATTGGCTTGAGTTAATTAAAAAATTAAAATTAAAAATTCATATCTTCATATCTATGTCCTCCGGGAAAAGAAAAAAAATAAAAATTTTGCAACAGGTTATGGTCAGTCAAGTTAAAAAATGTTAGTTAGTCTACACAAGAAATCTATACTCACTTTCTCCAAACAGATAAGTGGCTAGAGATCAAAAGACTCACCGAAAACCGAAACTCCATGGTAGCTTCTCGAAATTAATAACGTATTTTTCTTCCTTTTCTTCTGTAAACTGTGAGCAATGCCAGTTATGGATGAATTTTCTCTCTTTTAGACATCCATCCATCCGACAAACATTTCAATAAAAAAGACTGGTGTTTGCTATGAAATTATAGATTCACAGAAAATCAATCTTACAACACTTTACATACAAAAACTTTGTTGTATGTAAAATTAAATTGCAGTTTTAAATTTTGCCACAATTAATTTATTGGAAGATTTGTTTATTTATTTATCATCTTGATTGTGACTATGACTACTTACCAACGCTGAAACTTTCATTTCATGTCATAAAACACTTCTTGGCACGCATTTGACGTCTGTCGTCTGATTATTATTTTTTCCGGACCATATTTCCGACGCGACGCGCAGACATTGTCTTCACTTCATAATATTCTTCATGATATTCATAATTTTTTTACTGTTTTTTTTTTTTTATGTGAATTTTTAAAATGCATCAATTAGGAAAAAATTGTTTAGCAAAGTTTGTCTTGTTGAATTTTTTTCGATGTATTTCAGAAAAATCACCGTCAACAAATGTTTAATGTTGTGAAATAATTTTCTACTTTTTTTTTGTGAAAAAAATATAAACTTTTTTATAAACACACACTTTTTTTTCTTTTTAACGGCACAGAAATACCATTAAATTTTTAAATATTAATAAATATTGTGAAAAATTATTTTTTGATGAACCTTAAATGCGGAAATAAAAACAAATCTATTAAATTAAAAAAAAGTAAAACTAATTTTTTTTTTTATTTACTAAATTTATTTGTCAAAACAACTTTAACCTCAACTCTTCCTGTCGAGAGATACTTTTTTTCTTTTTTTTTAAGTTTCGACAATTATTTTACAATTATTTATTTGCTATTATATTACTGATTATAGTTACTTCTCTAGTCTTATAATGTTTAACTATTTTTCATTTGAATATTCGTATGTTTTTTGGGTTTTTTTTCGGAAAATAATCTATTTTTTTTTTAATCTATTCTAAAACCTGAAAAACAAAAGTAAAACTCTCGCCAAGTTGTATTCGTTTGAAGTACTCATTTTGATAACTAGCCATTCTCCGTTGTTTAATAATACCAAAGGTCAAAGGTGATAAGACGGTTTTGGTTCGCGTGTTCACATCAGCTGTTGATTTCAGTAAGCAATGTGATCGAAAGATTTTTGATAAATTCTCACATGAAAAAAATGTAAAGTTAAAAAAAAAAAATTGATTTTATTTTTAAACCAGCCTGTAGGCTTTTTCACTTTAAATTGCTTGTAAATGTAAAAAAAATCTGTGTAGTTGTTTGTATGTCATCAACAACTCTCCCAAAAAAAACTCCTTCAGTTTTTTTTTAGCAGAATATTTGGATCATTCAATCAATCTACTGTACAGTGTACAATTTATTTTGTGAAAAAAAAATGGTATTAACAAAGTCTAGAAACTGTTTTTGGCCACGTAACCTCCTCTCTAACGATTTCCAAATCTGAAGGTTTTTTTTTTTCTTTCTCCATCCGTTTTCGAAAATAAAAATGCAATCGAAAAAAGTAATATATACTGGGATTTTAATTTTCATTTTTAAAAATAATCAGTTTTTAGTAGTCTTTACTTTTTAACTAGTTCCGTACTTGCTAACGTAGGGTAATTAATTTAATTTTTAAGGGGGAGAAATTCAAGAATGATTTTATTTTCGTAGTGATGAGTGCGTGCGCGAATTACGGTGCTTACATAAAAAAAAAGTATTTCTGTGTATATATGTACATTTATTTCTAAAAATATATTATTTTATTTTTATTTAGCAGTTTCTTCCTCAATACTTCAACTGTCCTTTCTTTTTTATTTTTCATAGATGCCACGTTCTTTGGAAGCTTGTTTTTTAGAAACTTTTTAATTTAATTAGTAGACCAAGTTAATGACCTTTTTAGGCTTCCTCCATATATGAATGAAGAGTTTACTTTTTGAATAATAAGAAGAATTATTTGTCACGGTTGGGGGGGGGGGCATCAGGATTTTAAAGATGCTTTTAAGGTATACCATTGTGAAAGGTATGAATCCCCTTCTCAGCCACACACACACCCCAGCTATGGGTAGATAGTAGAACAGACCAGGTTCCATAGCCCTGGATGGCAACTGGTCTACCACAGAAAGAGATGGCAACCTACTGCAGGAAAAAAAAAAATCTGCCTCATCAGTCATGTATCGAAAGATACATGATCGCCTAAGCGTGTATCAGTATCACGCATGGCGCATAACTGATGGCCACAAAAAAGGTTGAGAATCAGTGAATTTGATACTAATTAATTAACTAATAAAAACATGTTAAACTACTAAACGCAACATGTTCACTAAAATTAAAATACTTGTGCATGTTCTGTTTCATGAAGTTGAAATTGTACCATGTAATTGTAAAAAAAAAATACAAAGTATACTTTTTTAACACAGAATTAAAGAAGTGTTTGACACAGTTTTCACAGGTGCTTGTTAAAGATATATAACTTTATGACAAACTCTTTTGCCTGATTGGCATAAAATCATCAGAAAAAAATGTTTACCCTCTATGTCATGGTCACATATTTTCCATGTTAAATAAATATGCTAAAGGGAAAAAAACACTATGAAATTAAAAATTAACAAAATAATCAGTTGCTTTATTTTTAATATTTAATTAGAAAATAAAATTATTTTATTTTATTTATTTTTTCAACTTTTTGTATGTTATGTTTCCTAAATATTTTTATTTTAAAAAATATGTTCTAGGTCTCCAAGAAATTTAAGTCAAGACACAAGAGCTATTCAATCGTTAAAAAGTTATTTCTGCATTAAGGTGTTTTAAAAATAGTGAATTTGTTAAACATTTAACCCTAACCATACCAAAAAATCATAACAATATTATTTTCCATATCATTTTTTAAAAATATATAAAAAATAAAAATATTTTATCATTCTTTTAAGAAACTGTAACTGTATATATCTGCTATTTTATAATCTAATCCACATTTACAGAAAGTTAAAATTGTTGCTATTTCAGAAGCTGCTCTTTAATTATGGAAACACCAGCTGAGTTTGTCAAAAAACTTGGTTCCAGTAAGTAAATGTTGAAATTCATTTGTTTTTTGTATCCCATATTTAGACATTAACAAGCAGTATTTATTAATATAGTTATTAAGAAAAACACCATTATTTCCATAGTTATGTAAAGGAAAGCATCATTATCAAAAAACTAAAAAGCGTCATTATAGTTCTGTAAAGAAAAGAATCATTATTTAAAAAAACTACAGCACCATTATTTTTATGATTATATATTGAGGAAAGCATCAGTAGTTCTTATTAATGTGAAAATCGTAAAATTATTGCTGTTATAGTTTAAAAATAAAAAACTTGCAAAATTGGACCAAAATTATAACAAAAAAACTAGTCAAAAATATATAAAAGGATAAATAAATGCAAATATTAAAGTTGTGACTTAGATGATTGATGCTATATTTTTTCAGCATCTTAACTGAGTCTCATAAACGAACTCTTCGGCAATCATTCTGTCCATTTGTCAAGAGATACCAGCAATTGACTGTTTATTTTCTCATTTTTAGTCACTTTTATATCGAGTTAAAAATAATTTATACACTTTTCATTGGTGCAATGTTAATTTTTTTCTCTCCTTTCTTTTATTGTGTAATTGTGTATTTGTGCTGGCACATGACATCATTTTATATATATATATATATATAAATTTTCGTCATATAATTATGATGCATTTCTTTCTCTCTCTCTCTCTCTCTCTCTCTCTATATATATATATATATATATATATATATATATATATATATAATTTTGTCATAATTGTGATGCATTTTTTCTCTCTCTCTCTCTCTCTCTCTCTATATATATATATATATATATATATATATAAATAATTGTTTATGTAACACATGATATCACAGGTAGGGGTTTTGTTAAGCAAATCCATCAAAATTTTTCATTCACTATAATGATTACATATATAGTGACATAGCAAATATTAAAAGTATATAAACATAGATATTCATTGAAAATTATTTGCTATAGAAGTGCATTGTATAATAGTTTAACTAAAGTGAATGCATTTCAAACCATTGTATTAGAATAATACATTGGAAATTATTTACTAGTCATTTATGCAACTTGTCTGATAGGATTTATTAAATGAATGCATCAAAACTTTCATTGACCCTAATTACATACATAACACATGGTAAATAAAAGTATATATAGAAATTCATTGAAAATTATTTTATTATTGAAATGCGTTGCAAATGATTTACTTGTCATTTATGTTAACTGTTTTATCAAGAATAGGACTTATTAAACAAATCCATCAAAACATCATTCATTCTAATGATTAAATATATAAAGACATGACAAATACTAAAAGCATATATAGAAATCAATTGGCAATGATTTTACTATAGGAATGCTTTGCTAATTATTTACTCACCATTTATGTAATCTGTCTTATCAAGGATAGATTTTATTAAGCAAATCTTTCATGCATGCTAATGATTACATATATAAGCTCATGGCAAATACTAAGTATATATAGTCTGACCTTTTTAATCTTGTACTCCGTGACCCAGTATTTTCCATGGTCCAATATGTTTTGAATCTGCCACCATTAGTTCACTGAGCATCTACAAGGGTCAGGCTACATGTTGCTTACAACATTTTGCAGCAGCCACATCAGCAGCAGAGTGTTTTGGTAATACAGTCTTGCTCATTTCTTATATATAGCAGCATATTTACTCACTCAGGAAAATGTGTATATCTGTCTATATCACTGAGATGAGGTATTGTTGATTATTTACATTATTCAGACTGTTATCCTCATCTTCACTGCCTTATTCACAATGTTTCAGCCATTGTATGCTCTAGCCTTCTTCAGGTGATTGGAATTTGGAAATGAACCTTTTACCCTGGTGGCTGAAATAAAGGGTTCGGTTTGAAATTTCAATTACCTGAAGAAGGCCAGAGTGTACAATGGTCAAAACGTTGTGAATATAGCAATGAAGATGAGGATAACAGTTCAAATAATGTAAATAATGTGTATATACCCTTTTTTGGCTTTAGGCTTTTTTTAGTTTTTGTATTCCATAAAACAATAAAACCCTTTCTTTAAAGATTGTTTTAAGCTTTGTTCTACCTTTGATAATACAGCAATATATATATATATATATATTAATTTTCAATCTGCTTGTCTGAATCATCTTCAAGAAGCGAGAGCAAGATCTAAAAGATCAGCCAATCTAACGGTGATCTCATCTCACAATCCTCACACTTGCTCCATATGTGGCCTCCTTTGTAAATCACTAGCGGGTCTTAAATGCCACTTAAGATTATCGCACAAAATTTCATAACTGAATCAATAAGCTGTCAGATCCTCATACGTCGAAACCGACGGGAGAGTCCATTATTATATATATATATATATATAAAATGAGTTGGAGAGACTATATTTCCATTGGGCTTTTTAGGGGTGATTTCTGTCACTTGACAATGACCTGGTCCCAAGGGTGCCAGATTAAAGTATTCAGACTATTGAAATTTATTGGAAATTATTTTAGTATAGGAATGCTTTGCAAATTATTTACTAGCCATTTATGTAACCTGTTTTATCAAGGATAGGATTTATTAAACAAATTCATCAACACTTTCACTCTAATGATTAGTTATACAGCAAATTCTTATGGTATGGAAAAATAGATTAATGAAGAAATTCTTATGGTATGGAAAAATAGATTAATGAAGAAAGTATGTAAAACTGAACTAAAAAAATGTGATTTTTTTTTTCTGAATTTACTTTGTCAAAATTCATTTTAAAAATATGACATCAGAATTGATTTTAATTAAAAACAGGTGTAACCAAACAACAGATACGTCAAAAGGTTTGGGATTACCTGGAAGCCAAAAACATAGCAAATTTCCCTCGTCCAGTACACAATAGAATTCCTAATTTCAAGGTAAGTATTTGCCCAGACATAATTTAATCCAACACAAGAAACACTACAACTATTATCATCTATAATTTTGAGAAGTGTCATCATTCCAATACATTATAAATGATTATCACAGAGAAATCCCTGGCAAATGATATTGTAGGAATACAAAATGTGATTATCTCCCTTTGGTCAAGATAAGTCACATGGGTCACAAGACAGACTGCCTAGTGATGACACTCAATACAGTGATGAAAGCAGCAGTCAATATCAGAGGTTACTGTCTTTAGCCTGGGCCATGCTTGGGTGGCTAAATCTACTTCCCCATCAGCTTAAAAGTCCATGGTGCCATTTCTCTTTGGAAATATATCTTTCCTAAATGTTGAAAAAGACTCCAGCTCATAGTCCTCAATTTGGAAAAAACCCAAAACTTGCTGTTTCCTGTTTGAGAAATATGTCATCGCCTGGAACATAGTATATGAATCCAGCCCATTTGAATCCTAAACATGGCTTCTCCAGACACAGAAGTATCTTTATATTATATGTAAGACCCATCATTTTTGTTTTTCATTACACTCTGCTTTGCTGTATAGATATGATATATTGTTTTCCATGTGGGACACGTATATATGTATCCTATACTTTTTTTTATGTTGTAGTAGTATAAAAGTCTCTCTGAGAGCAAAGCATGTTTGTCATTCCTCTTCCTTTCAGCCATTCTGTTCTGTCTGAAGTATGATGTTATTATATCATGAATATAATAATGTCCATAACAGAGGGGAAATACAAATGGGAGAATAAATCTTTCTTCCATAGCTCTCCTGCTATAATATTACTGTAGGAATACACTGTAATTCATGTTAGAATTGGAATACATTGTAAATCATGTTACTATAGGAATATATTTTAAATCATATTACTATAGGAATACATTGTAAATCCTGTTAATATTGGAATACAGTATACATTATAAATCATGTTACTATATGTTATACCGGAACGTACCTATTTCTATTGTAAATAGATTCTCCCACAGATAAGTAGTAGTAGTAGTAGCAGTTGCCAATGAAGCTCAGTGAGTTATGTGAGTCAGTCGATGTTGGACATTAAAGTATGAGCCCCACAACTAGATTGCTGCGTCATTAACTATTTTTCAAGTTCCTAACGTTTTCTACGTCGAACCTAATTTAGGACTGACTGAGAGAAATACAAGCCTCCACTGTGAAAACTACTCTACAACGCTATAGGAATACATTGTAAATCATGTTACTATAGAATACATTATAAGTTCCATTACTATAGGAATACATTGTAAATTATGTTGTTATAGGAATATTTTTTAAAAATCATGTTACTATAGAAATGTATTGCAAATGATATTACTATAGAAAAGCATTGTAAATGATGTTACTACAGAAATGCATTGTAAATATACAGTCTGTATATATGAGGAGTCATCTTTTCAAGTTTTTTGGCCTACTAAAACATTTGTGTTGCTTTTATTACTATATCTGTTGCTATAACATTTTGATTGATCCATTCTTCAGCCTTCTAAAGGTGTACAATCTATAAATAAAGATAAGAGTTTCTTTTCTATTAAAACAGGTGTGGAAAAGAAACAGTAGTGTCTAATATACTGACTGGTTTAGCTCATTCCCAGGAAAAAGAGTCACACAGACAATCTCATTCTCAATACAATAATAAACAGATTTTTAAAAAATGAATGCTTTAAGATAAACAGAAAAATCGTTCAAGTTTTCATTGAACTCTTGTTTAACCTCTTGTTAGTAACTAATGTAGCAAAAAGGTACAGCTGTCTGGAGTACCAGTTGTACCCTGTCTTTTTTCAATCACAATCAGTGAGACTACCATGAAACTCCATGCACAAAGTATTACTGCTTGACTTGTAGGCTTCTGATGTCTCTCTAATATTTTCTCACTCATGTTCATTTTATCAAGTGGTTGATGCTCAGAAATTTGCATAAGCCACAAATTCATCATGCAAAATCTCTGAGCTACGAGATCAAGTTGTTCTTAAATTGTAGCTTTTTTGTTCGGCCATGTTTTCTTTCACATATCTTGCATGCAAGACACGTACAAACATGTTTTGTTCCAGTAGGTAAGCTGTTTTCCCTTCTACAACTAAAAGAATATTTCACAAGAATTGTATTCATTCCTAGAGTGACTGACAGGTATCACAAGAAATTTGTTTGTACCATTTTTTTTCTTACTGTAACACTTAATCAGGCATGTAGTACATTTTATCAATGGTGATGAAGGTAATGAAAGCGTTAGAGCAGCAGATGAAGAAATATCTTGTGATAAAATTTTTTATCCTAGGTCTTTTTACTCTAGTAGCAGATCAGACAGTGATTTAAGACAATTCATGGATGGTGAAATAAGCATTATAAATTATAATTGTCTTGGTGCAGTAGGTAAGTCTTCTGATAGAAAATAATATAGTGGTGTGAAAAATAGATATATGTTGTAACCTAGGGAAGGTTATTGAATAGAATGATCAAACAAAAGTTGTTAATGAACGATAATACTTAGGACAAGAACAACACATGTACGATTCACCAGTGGCACATAGAAGTAGTAGTCAACTGCTAGAAGTAAGTGAAGTGAATCTATGAATTTCCAACTGCAGACCCACATACAGTGTTTACTACTGTATTTATGTGAATGGGGACATACCCATTATCGTCCATATGCATGCTACAATAATATGTATATAAAATAAGCTTTGGATTAAAGGTTTGTAAAAACCAATAAATACATTTGATATATCCTGATATTTATCGAAATAAATTTAAATTTGTTTTGATTAGCTTCAAGTTGTTATAGTGGTTTATACTGCAATGAAACGCTATTGTAAATTATAACTGCAAAATATTATTATTAATATTCATTGTATTTCTATCTCAGTTTAAAATAGACATATTATTTTTTTTTCTTTATAGGGAGCAGCAACTGCATCTGACAAGGTAGCATCAATGGAAGTATTCAAGAAAGCTCAAACAGTAAAAGTGAATCCTGACAAACCTCAAGAGGTTGTGCGCTTTCATACTTTAGAGGTAAGACAATAGAAAATCTTTTCCAGTTTCTATCCAGCTATTTAATATTAATGAAAAATAGTCTACCTATGGGCATGGTGCCTTAGTCCTCTTCAAAGTTCTCCCCTTGAGAACTCATACACTTATGCCAGCATTTCTTCCACTTCTGAAATCAATCTGAAAATTCCTCTTTTGGGACCACCATCAGCTGCTTCATCACATTCTCTTTAATCTTTTCCATGGTCTGAACTCTTCATTTTAATTCTGGGAAAAACCAGAAATCATAGGAATCCAAATCTGGACTATAGTGCTACTGATAGATTCCGGTGATGGATTGTTTTTCTAAAAACCTTACCCAAAATATGAAGAATGGATAGAATTATTCCTTGTGAATGTGATAGCCACACATTCCTGCTGCCAACTGAGTAACCCTAATGAAGAATTTCTGTTCACTCATGCATAGTAAAATCCACTCTGATTGATTGTCAAGTTACAAAATGGTGTAAAGTCGCTGCCTGCTTTTTCGACAGAACTTGTATACCTCTGCCATGTCTACTGGTTATGAAATTTGTTAGCAAATAATATAGTATCATCCACAATTTTCTAGTTTTAGAACACAAAAAAACAAAATCAAAACTGTTCACCTAAGAAATGACCCCCACTCCACTGTTTTCTGTTTCTTTCATTTTCTTATTCTACAGACACCTGTTCTGGGAGTAGGAGGAAGGTAAATTCACATAACTGAATCTTTCTTCCCCTTTTCTTCTCCTTTCCTGATTTCACAGCACATCATCTTTACATAGTTGAAAACATTCCTTGGGTTAAAGCCTATCTGCATGCCAAGTTTGGTTGAAATATTTCCAGTAGTTTCTGAGCCTATAGCAGACAGACACTTCATTTAGCTATGTTTAACCTTTGTACCTACAAAAAAACTGTGTGTCAAAAGGATGAACACTTCCAATGAATAGAGAGATACACACTCAAAATATTAGGTGTTTGTGGCCTCACCTAAAATCTAAAATTAAAAAAATGTTTGGTTCAGAGGAAGAAATACTCTCAACCTATTTTACTGAATTTATGTGGTGAGAGAAAATGAAAGAAATCCCTGGAAAATTCTTCTTTTTTTTCAAAATGTATAATTACAATGACTGGTTGTTCTGCATTTATTTAAATTTTCTTATTCACAGACATTTTTTATAAATTTATGAATAAAACAAATTCTTTTCATATTTAGTTCTTTACAAAATGGTAAATAATAAATATTTCATTATAGTCGGTTCACATATTTTTATAATCTTGTAAATATAAAATTATTCCTGTAAATAAGTGTTATATTCCATGCTAATAGGAATATATATTTGACAAACACAGTGGATGAAATAAGTAAAGGTTTATTGTAAAAACCAGTACAATAAGAATAAAGGTAACAGTTACGCACCAGGTCATCGCAAGTCAATCCAGTAGTGAGTACTACTATTGGAAAGTTGGTAGTTCTCACGTAAGTCATACTCAACAGATCCCAGTTAGTCGGTATTTACTAGACCCCCATGGGGGTAGATGTGGCACAAGGTCGGGTTTAACATGGGTCTTCCAAGCCCATAGGCTCAGCCAAAAAATGCCTGTAGAACCCGCATAAACAGGATCGGGTTGGTCAACCTCCCTAAACAAGACTCTGCCCTTTGGCAGAGCCTCAGCCGGGTTCCTCTCTGCTCAGAGGCAGAGAGTTCAACCATCTAGCTGGAACAGATCCCAGTTAAAATATTTAGCTACCCCCTCCCCATGAGGGCTGCATGTGGCACATGGCCAGTTTAACGTGGGTTTCTCCAAGCCCGTAGGGTCAGCCAAAAATATTCTCTTTCGAACCCATATAAACAGGTTCAGGGGTAGTCTACCTCTCCAAACGAAACTCTGCCCTTCGACAGAGCCTCATCTGGGTTCCTCTCCGCACAGATGCAGAGAGTTCGACCATCTAGCTGGAACAGATCCCAGTTAGTCTCTGTAGTCCGTTGGCTTACAGATACTTATAGGTAGTTACTACCTATAGTGTAGTCACTCATGGGGCTGACAGGTTATTCCATTACATCAATAAGCAATTTAATAATTTGATAAATAAATAGTGTTTAAAATATCATTGTTGCCCTATTCTCAAGAATAAAGAAAATGTATCTGGTATGGTCAAGGTGAATGCTGAATCTTTGTGGTCTCATGCAATGTTTCATATTGATTCTAAGTCAAATAAATTGTACTGAAAAGACGAATGCAGGTACAACTTATCTGAAGCTTTATTCAACTTAGAATGGAGTATGTCCAAGCTGGACTTATTTAAATACAAAAACGTATAATGAGCAATAATCCATACCACAGTGTATAAATCCACTTTCATATGTTTCACTTTTATTAAAATTCTAATCATCACTTTTTAAAACAAAAAACATTGCCGAAGGAGTCAAAAATGTATATAGTAATAGCAGCATCAAGAGAATAACCATTCTTTTGACACACTGTTTTTTTTTGGGGGGGGGGGCATGAAGGATAAAGATTCTCTATTATTTTATTTGAATAAATGAAGCAGCTTAATATTTTGAATAATGTTTCTTTTTCCCAGGCTCATAAAACACTCTTGGTGCCAACTCCACGCTTACGCACTGGCCTATTCAACCGTATCACTCCACCAAGTCAAAGCAAAGAAACCTTTCGCAAATGTGCTACATCTCAGGTGAGGAGGTCGTCTGTGTGTTTATTAGATAAAGTGTTTTGAATTAATATTTCTTGGGAACTACTTAAACTGTCTAAGCTGTTTGTAAAAAAATAGATATATTTTTGTGAACAATTTTTGTAGATTAGCATTTATTAGAAGCCTGAAGCCATGACATTTTTCAGAATAGAAAAATATTTTTTATTATCTTAGAAGTGGTTGCTCTGTTCATAATATACATACAGTGTTTAATATAACAACTCTAAATAAAAGCTTTATTTGACTAATTCAATTTTAACACTGAAAACATTTTATTTTTATAGTAATGGATGGTTATAACCGAGAAAGGGAAGATGGAATGTGTTTATTTTATTTTCCACAGTTTCAAATCGATCTCTGGGTTCTTAAAGAGTTATCTGAACTTTATTGTTATTTACAAATATGTTATTTTTGCTGTGTTAGAATAATACATCAAAAACGAGAAATGAGATCATGGTTATAGCAATGAATCTATGCTTCTCACTTGTATCTTTGTGTCAGGTAATGTATCTAAGGTAAGCTTGGTAAATATTGATAATATATCAATGTTGTAATGTGCTAATCTTTCCTGTTAGTTTCATATTTCCTGTTAGTTTCATATCACTTGGTATCTCTGTACAGCATAAAACTACTAGCTTGATATGATGGTCAACAAGGCAACTGATAAACATGGCGAGAATGGCACAGTCAGAACAGCAAAGAAATAAGTTTGTTAAAACTTTGTTTTCGGCCAAATAATGTTATAGTTCTTCAATAACATTGAGTCTTTCTTTCTATACTTATTTCAATCAATTATATTGTTTTAATGACAAGTCAAAGAGACTGACAACCTCTTAATACTGAAAATGCTTCACATCTTTCCCTGTCAGTATCTGTGTATATTTCTGAGATGAGGTATTATGTACACTATTTAAATTATCTGGACTATTGTCCTCACCTTTGACACTATATTTATCACAACATTTCAGCTGTTGTATGCTCTGGCCTTCTTCAGGTGGTTGGAATGTCAAACTGAACCCTTTATTTCGCTCACTGGGGTAGATTGTTCTAGTTCCATGTGCCATGTTTAATTGGTGTCAGTTATCTCCTGTTAATTTCCCTCTCCAAGTTCTCCACTGCCTTAACCAGGTATTGAACTCACACACTTTGGGTCCTGTCACTGGATCTAACTAACGCCTTTTTATCCACTGTGCCATGTGTTCTTGAGTTCAATACCTGGTTAAGGCAGTGGAGAACTTGGAGAGGGGAATTAACAGTAGATAACTGACATCCATTAGACATGGCACATGGAACTAGAACAGTCTATCCCAGTGAGCGAAATAAAGGGTTCAGTTCATTTTTCCCTGTCTCATTAAAATTATTTGCTAACTTTCCCCTTTTAGTAACAGAAAGGATGAAAGAATTTTTGTAGTGGGTTGTGGGTCCAGTATTCAAATCTGCTTATGTTATTAGAAAATTTGCTTTATACTAACAAAAACAACATATGCTGTCCATAATAAAGAGAAACATTGATATTCTATCCTTTTCCATTTTTTATTCTGTTATTAATTTCAGGGAGTGAAAGAACACAGTCTTCCTCTGTCTTTAGACACCAAAGTAAAAATTGATCTTATTGTCATTGGGGCTGTGGCTGTCTCCAAAACTGGTGAGTTCTTGTTTATAAGTACCAATAAATTAATAGGTTTGATAACAAGTTCCAACATACTTACATACAACAATGTACATTTATGATGTTAACAAATGTTAGAATCATTCATAAGTACAAATCTACACATGGTGCATCTCTATAATTTAGTAATAGTACATGACCGATTACACAGTTTGCCAATTATCAGAAGCTGTATTAATTGCATTTGTAATAGATCAGCAGAGCAAATATTACTCAGCTAGTGTTAGTATTGTGTTCCCTGTTTAGTACATGTTGATAAGTGTTGACTCTGATAAGGCACTAGATGCCTCTGTGGAAAAATGTGTGGGTGAGACCAAGAATTCCTCAAATTTATAGACAAATCTGACAGATGCATGCTGGAATTTCAATAAACATCAGCAATTTTTGTTCTTCCAAATCCAGAGCCTTCTCAATCCTGTTGGAGGAAGTCCTCCCTGATTGATCATGTCTTCAAGGGTATGTGGGTTATCCCACTTGACTTTCATAAAAATCGTCACAAGAGGGCGCTCCTTAAAACCCATGAAAAAATGTGAATTTTTCTCCCTGTTCACTTTTCCCCTTTTACAGATTCTGGCTATAAGATGTAGCCATACATAAGAAAAAAGTGTCCCCCACTGGAGCATGTTCATTTTCATGGTTTTCTGTCTTGAATTTTTGTACTCCCTCATACATGTGTCTATCATATAGGCCTACGTAAATTTCACACACACAAAAACGTACATTCTCTAATTTAAATGTTTTCGTTTATTGTAATTAATTCTATACATGAAGTTATTTGTTGTTTGTTTTATATTATTTTGTATTACTCATTTTTTACCAGGACTCACATTGAGTAGGATAAATTTTTCAGAAGCCCATAAATATTTACTCTCTAAAGTGTTGATTCCTGCAACATAATGGTGACGAAATGTTTACCAAATATTCCCACTAGCGATTCCCACAACAGGTGTAACCATACTCACCACACTTAGTGAATTGAGGGTTGGTGAGACTATTTAACCCATAGTTGGAGGTTTTGAATTTAGAGTTGTCCTTCTCCTAGACTAGTTGCCAACCAAGGCTACATGACCCAGTCTTCCCTGATATTTACCCATAACTGGGGAGAGAAGAGATGGATTTATACTTTCCAAGGGTATTTGCACTTAAGTGAATGTAACAAATGAAATTCATATGAATTTCATATTTGGTTTTCCAATTCCTCAATCACTATCCTTTACTCCACTGTGCTTTCACACTTATCCTTAGCCACACGTTTTTCTTTTTTGTCTTGAAGTCAGAAGGCAAGAAACCACTTGACTGCATCCTGTTTGTGTGTGAACACTGTTTCTTTTTTACTGTAGTATAATTGTTTTACCTGGCTATTGTTTTATAGTTTCCTTGCATTGTATTATATTTTTCATTTCTTGCCTTATTTTAATCGATTCTTCTTATTTTTATTCTTCTTGTGATTGGGAATTTTTTTCAATTTCACTTCAAAATTCCCGCTTATTCAACAGTTATAACAGCAAAGTTAACATGTTGAAGTGTAAGAGAAAAAAATGTCTCTATGTTGTAGTGAAATCAAATGATGACATAATACTAAATTGTTTCATGCCAGACAAACATTAACCTCTTTGCTGAAAATAATATATTTGTATAAGTTGATGTTTGTTTTGTTTATTTAACAGCATATCAACTCCTTATGTGTCATTTAATGCCGAAATTAAATTTTTGGGGAGTTTTGAAGTAATGAAAATATGTTATTCTGCTTTCACAATTGAATACATGGTACATGATACTCAACTTTTGTGCATATACATGTTTGTGTGGACATAATTACTAGAGGTGGTGTTGTGTGTGTTTTATGTTGTAGTTTTGTTGAAGTTATATTTTGGAATATAGTTTGAGTTCTTTAAGAAATTGTAGAATATTATATGGATTAATGTCATAAAAGTGTTTGTTCATATTGGTTGGTTGATTTTGTTTAGTGCCATATCATCATCTAGGGGTTATTTAATGCCAAAATTTAAATATTTTGAACTCAGTTGTATGCCTTCAAATACAGATAAAATGTATTGCTGGTAATTTTGCTATAAATACATATTTTTATACTTTAATAATGTTTTGCCTTTGTTTGAGGATTGACTATTTGTCCATAGTTGGGGCCTTAACAGGTACTACCACCCCGAGTCAGTGTGGACCTGGGAAAACAACAGCAATTAAGAGGTGGTTCCACACTCCTCAAAAACCTTCAATCTCCCAATCAGAGGCCTAGCTGCTAGATGTAGTTTATCATCATATCCAAGACTATAAGTTGATGTTTTCTATTCATAGGGTTGAAAGTAAACATGAGAAAAGGTTAGAAATAGCAAAAGCTAATTAGTCAGAAAATATTTTCATATTTTTTATTCCAAATTCTGTTTAGCCACAGCAGTGATGCATCCAAAATCCAATCAAAATAATTTATTTTCTCATTTTATTTCTGTCTTTCATAGCATATGCATTGCAACAGATCAAGTAATTTATATATTAACAAGATCCAGAATGTCAGTTAAGTCTCATCATGTTACAGTTGAAAAGGCTAGATGTACGCATGTTCTAAGCTAACAGTTTCTTCTCTCACACTTCTGGAACTCTTATTTGGCCTCTTGCTTTCAGTCAGCTTTGATCTTCAAAAATTTAAATGCAATATCAGTCATTATCTTTGTTGTAACCCAGGAAAGGTTACTGAATAGAATAATCAAATGAAGGTTGGTAATGAACGATAATACTCAAGACAAGAACACATATAAGATTTGCCAGTGACACATAGAAGAAGTAGTCAACTGCTAGAAGTGAGTCAAGTGAATTCCACAATGAATCTTCAACTGCAGACCAACATACAGTATTTACTACTGTATTTATGTGAATGGGGACATACCAATTATTGTCTGTAGGTTTGCTACAACAATCTTCTTAATTCCTGTTCTTTTATTACTCTCTCTCTTTAATAATGTTTTTTTTTCTTTTTCTCATGTCCTTTTACACACTCTTATGACTTAGTGACTTTATTGCTTTGCTTGGAGCAGAATGATTAAAAGAAATGTAAACTATGACATCATTATTATAATTATATAATAATATATTAGTCATGTAACCTGTCTTATCAAGGATAGAATTTATTAAACAAATCCATCAAAACTTTCATTCGCTATAATGATTACATATATAAACATGACAAATATTAAAAGCATATATAGAAATTCATTGAAAATGATTTTAATATAGGAATGCATCATAAATTATATTGATATGTAAAGGCATTGGTATTGATTTCACAATAGAAGTCAGGAATCAAGGGATTTTCAGTGATCAGGAATTAATGTATAATTACTGACAGAATAGGATTTCTATGTCTAATGTAAATGCATTGATAATATTTGAAAGAAATTTATTGAAAATCAGGACGAATGGAGTTGTCTGTGTTCATAAATATTACTGATAGAATAAGGTTATTATAAGCATAATATATATGTATAATCTATATATATCGATGAATTTTAAAAATGCTTGAAAAAATATTTTACACATTTAAATACTGACTTTACAAATCTCTATAAACTTAATAAAAAAAAATTGTTTTTTTGGGGGGGGAGGTAAATCATTTCACCCCAAGCAAAGTGATAATGCCACTAAGATGCAAGGAGCTACTGGGAGTGAAAGAGAATGAGAAGACTTTAAAAGGAACAGGAAACCCAATCTAAACAGGAAACAAGGGTTAAACTTCTACTTCTGCTCAAAAGATGGAAGTGTAAACTGGGTGAGAGGCAAAACTATCTACTCCTTTAATATCAATTTTCACGAATTTCATAAAAAACAAAATTCTTATTGAAAAATATTTATCTTCTACTTTACTATTTTTTTCCTTGGAATTTTTATATTTTACTCTGGAAAAGGAAGGTGTTTGTGGTTAAATACTAATTGGAACAGATATATTCTAATACTGTCAAAACTTTGCGCCATACCTTATTGGTCATTAAAATTGCACTGATACACTCTTTCCATGCATATAGAATTATTAATGGCTTTATGAGTAGTATAAGAATTTCTTGTTAGAGCCAGTATGTCTTGGCAGAGCAGAGGAATGATTAATGAGCTAGACCAGTGGTTCTCATCCTTTTTTACCCATGGATTTTCTGTTTGATGAAAAAAAGCTCATTTTATTTTTTACTAATGGACAAGTTTAAGAATCTATATAATGTTCCTTTTATATATATATATATATATATATATATATATATATATATATAATTATTTATTTAAAATATGATTCCAATATGCTACATAAGAGTTCTCATGTTTCAAAACAAGAGCCGAAAACTTCAATATAATTATTTGAATTAAATTGAATTAAAGTACTAAGCTCTGTTCCATCTTCAAGCGAAATTTTTTGGGAATAACTTATTTCTGAAATTTACGAGTTTTATAAGCATATTCATTATTAAAATCAAAATTTCTATGGTAACAGCTAGAGCAATTGTTCAAAGAAAAAGGGGTGTAAGGTGTTAATAATTTGTATCAATATCTTGGTTACATTCACAGATGTCAAGTCAGGGTAAGGTTGGGGTGTCTAAATTTAAAGCGGAAGAAGACATCGCCTAGTCTGGTTAAGCGTCTATAGAGATTTATTTATTTTTTTTTTTTATTTTTTTCTGAAAGGGTTTTGTGTATATAAAAACTGTTGTAAATCGCTAACATTTGTTTTTTGACGACTTCATAAAGGGTTATCATTTTTGGTAGGGCATTTAAACTATTTATTAGGACTATGGATTTTAAAAATTATTTTATTGTTTGTTTTTATTCTAATTATTCAATGCAAAAATTTGATGATGTCGGCAAAAAACCGTTAACTCATGTCTATTGTTTAATAGATTTTTATTATTTAGAAACTTAAACTATATATGTATATTTCTTACAATTGGAATTAAGATACCATTAATGACCATTTTCACCTACGAATTATAAATTTAAAATATGCAGTATTTTTTAAACTGTTTATGGTGTCAGTTTGTAGAAAGAGACTTCCCCAACTAACCAGTTTCTTTCTACAAACTGACACCATAAACAGTTTGAAAAATACTGCGAATTTTAAATTTATAATTCGTAGGTGAAAATGGTCATTAACTAATGGTATCTTAATTCCAATGGTAAGAATAATTTTACTCTGTTTAATGAAAATAAACATTGAGTGCTCTTTGTGAGTCAGTTTTAACATTTAATATTTAAAATTCTATATTTTGTTAATAGGATTCATTTGGATTATACCAATGATTACTACCTGTATGTATGTATATATATGCAAATTTCATTGAATACGACAGACAAGGTGCTTTTATTTAGTTTTTTTATACAATTTCTCATGCAATCTAATAATTTTTTTTCTTTTTGGATGATAAATTATATAAAAATTGTCTGAATGTTCTTTTTATCCGAGTGCTTTCAGCTGTACATTTAGCCATTTTCAAGGATTAAATGTATAATGAAAATGGCTAAATGTATAGCTGAAAGCACTCTGATAAAAAGAACATTCAGACAGTTTTTATATGATTTATCATCTGAAAAGAAAAAAAAATTATTATCACATGAGAAATTGTATAAAAAAATAAATCAAAGCACCTTGTCTATTGTATTCAATGAAATGTGCATGAAAGAAGGATTGCTGCCTAAATGCACAAAAATATATATATATATATATATATATATATATATATATAGTCTCAATTTATTGAGTCGTATTCAATGAAATTTGCATATATATACATACATACAGGTAGTAATCCATTGGTATAATCCAAATGAATCCTATTAACAAAATATAGAATTTTAAATATTAAATGTTAAAACTGACTCACAAAGAGCGCTCAATGTTTATTTTCATTAAACAGAGTAAATATATGACCTCATGTACCTCACATATTAATATTAATATAGAATATTAATCTACAACCCAGTGTGTCTGAAGATTTTAATTTTTTAATATTTTTTTATTGTTCAAAATATATATTATATATATATATATATATAATCCTTCCCTCTCAGTTTTTATTCAACTTTTACAGTCAAAACATCTGGTAGATTAAAAGAGACACTAACTTGCTTCACTTGATCTCATTTTCTGCTAGTTTTAGAGTTGTTTTTCTATTTTTAGTATTTTAATATGGCATAGATTACTGCAGAAATTCCAATTCTCAGTTGTAACAACCATTCTGAAGATAAATTGCTCTATGGATCACTAAAATATTACTATGAACCCACAATTTGCTATTTTTTTATGTGGACCCCCAGTAATATTACATGGACCCCACTTGAGGTTTGTAATTATATATAATTATTAATAACAATTAACAATGCTTGCATCTAAGAAATTCAAAGACAATTGCATCTAATACTGATTATGCTGTAAACTATATTTTTGCATTATGCCTTCATATCTGTCTATATTTCTGAGATGAGGTATTATGTACACTATTTACAATATTTGGACTATTGTCCTCATCTTTGTCGCCATATTTATTACAATGTTTTGGCACAGTGGATAAAGGCATTAGTTAGATCCAGTGACAGGACCCAAAGAGTGTAAGTTCAATACCCAGTTAAGGCAGTGGAGAACTTGGAGAGGGGAATTAACAGGAGATAACTAACAACTGACATTAAAACATGACACATGGAACTAGAACAGTCTACCCCAGTGAGTGAAATAAAGGGTTCAATTTGACATTCCAACCAGCTGAAGAAGGCTGGAGTGTACAACGGCCAAAACATTGCAATAAATATGATGACAAAGATGAGGACAATAGTTCAAATAATGTAAATAGCCCTCATATCTAATTAAGCTTTTTGAGTTAGCCTTGCAATTTTTCTTCGGATCTAAATATTAAACTTAATACTCCTTCAATAATTCTCTTCCAGGTCTTCGCATTGGCAAAGGAGAAGGATTTGCTGACCTTGAATATGCTATGATGGTTAATATGGGAGCTGTTGATGACAACACTGTGGTCGTATGTTCTGTCCATGACTGTCAGGTGATGGATATTCCTGCTGAACTGTATAATGATCATGATTTGACTGTTGACTATGTGGTCACTCCCACTCAAATTATCAAATGTGAAGGCGGTACCCACAGCAAGCCTAAAGGACTGATTTGGTCTCGGTTGACCCCAAAGAAATTTAGAGAAATTCCAATATTAAAACATTTCAGGCAGATTGATGAAAAGAAAGGTCTTGATGTGAGATTCTCGGAAACATAATATTTAGAAAAATATTTTCCAAAAATGATGACACGACATTCTTCAAAATTTTCAAAAGTAATTTATTGCTTGTTATATAAGCTTCAAAATGGTGGCAATATGCCTCCATTTTTTTAAGATGTGGCAACTAATATTAAGTGAACTTTATGTTCCCATTGTCCAAGTTTCCCAAATAAAACATTGTAAAGAGATTGCATTATTATTTGTAAGAAAAGCACAATGTGTGCAATATTTCCACACTCAACCATGTTTTAACTGAGTTAATTAAAAATGATGCTAGAATAATTTGAATGAGAAACAAAATTCAAGTATAACTCTATTCATTAGAAATAAAGAAAAGTGTTAGTCAATCAGTTAAGTGCCATCCATTATACACACTTGGACAATCATGTCTCTTTTGATTCATGACTGACAAGGCAAAAGATTTTGCCAACCAAAGCCATAGGATCCAATCTGTCCTGCTATTCAACCCATAGCTGGAAGGAGAAGACATAGATTCATATCTTTCCCAAAGATATTTGCACGTAAATAAATGTAACGAACCCAACTGGAATTCAAACTCGGCTCTCCGATTTCTCAGTCTGAGCCACACTAAAACTGTTATGCAACATTAGTCCTCCTATATGGCAAAGAATTTTGGACAATCTTCTTACAGATAAAGAAAAGATTTGAGGCAACAGAAATGTGACTCTACAGAAGGATGCTGAGAATCCCATAAACTGAGCATGTGAGCAGTGATATAGTTTTAAGGAAAATTTAAGCAAAAAGGATGCTTAATTAATTAATAGAATATGTTCTATCAATGTGTCCCCTATAATTTGAATCTCTTTAATTTGTTTGTTCTAAAAAAAATCTTAATTTGTTTGCTCTAAAAAAAATCTTAACTTATTTATCTTATTTACTCGATCAGGGTTTTTTTCTTTGGACTGGAAATTAAGGCACTGGACAATTTTTTTTCACCCTGCTCAGATTTTTCTAGTTCTTTCTTTTTTTTTTTTTTCAAAATTTTTTTCCCAGATACCAATTTGTTTTGATATATTTATATTTACGAATTGCATCATCTGGGTTTTTTTCACCAACCAAGTATAGTTACATGCATACATACATACATACATACATATATATATATATATATACATAAAGAGTGTGAAAATTTGTGTTGTTATTAAAACTCTAAACATAGATTTTTAAAACAATAAATATTGCTAAAAATCCCTACAGTAATAGCAGTGTCAAGAGAAAAACCTTTTGACCCAGCTTTTTTTGCAGGTCAAAAGGTTAAACATTGCCAAAATTTTACACCCTTTTATAAAACACTTTAAAATAGAATCTATTATTTTTCCATTAAATATATACACATATTCATGTGTCTACTACTACATCCATGCACCAGGTATAAATAAAAGATCAACATATCAAGCAGTCAGTCTGAGTAGCAGTTGAATAACAGTCCAAGTCAAAGTAGTAACAAAAGAAATCTTCCCATGTCTAGTCTGTTTCCTGCCATTTAAAAACTGTCTTCATAAGAAGAAACTGGACTAAAAAAAAGAAAAATTATATTTGCAAAATACCTCAACAATTTCTGGAATATACATGCTTCGGATTTACATTTTATTTGCTTTCTTCTTCTCTTTTACTTTTTCTTTGTAGATGAGTTGAAGATTTTTAAAAGGCTTCATCCCATCAATCTTCTACAAATGAAACCAAGGAAATTGGTGACCCATCTCCCAGACAGCACCTCTACCCATTGCACTAAGAGGAGTAGGAGTAGGATCATGCCCTAATGCCTGTGGCAATATCCAAGGGATTTCGTCAACTTATTCCTCTCTCATGAAAAATTTATGGGCTATATGGATAACTCACCACTCTAAAAATATAAATCCAAAGAACATATGTATATTCCATTTTAGAAAATGTCCAAAACAATGACCCCTTCTTCCACTTGGTAATCATGAGACATGTTTTCATCACTTGCACTTTAGTAAGTGGTCATAAATTAATTTCTCCATTTCTCAGCAAAATTCTCAACTGACTTTGAATGTGCTTTCACTATTTCTCCCCAAACTTTGTGGGTTTTAAATTTTCCAGATGACTCTTCAATAGTATCTTTTCCCAAAACAATAAAATCATTTTCCTCAAGTCATCTCAACTTTCTTCTTTCAGCTTATATGTTAATCCATATTTTTAACCCTTTCATCTGTTCCAAGTCATATTTTAATTTAACTCTTTCTTTTCCATTTACCAGTGTCACATAGGGTCATAAATGAACCATGATTAGACCAGAATAATTATCAATGAAACAAAGTATATAATTGAAGTCATTCTTAGTTGCCTGTTGGTTAATTTGTTTTTATATTGTACTATTTTGCCTTGGATACATATTTCACAGTTTAAACTTGATTTATTGGTAATTTTCTTGTAATTTTATAATGTCTTTCAGACTGTTTCATGTAATTTTCCTGTATCCTAAAAATTTACTGCCCATAGTTCATATTTTGATTTGTCACTGTTGAAACAAAATCTATTCCTGGGCTGATAACCGGTTAGTTGGGGAGGGGAAAGTATTTGACAATCATTCCTACATAAGATTGGAACCAACAAAAATCATTGACAAACAAAATTTACACACACAAGCGACCAGTTGTCATTACCTGTAGAGGTGAAAGGAAATGGAATAAATTTCAGCAAGGCAATATTTTCATGTATTTTATATCTATCTATCTATCTATCTATATATATATATATATATATATATATATATATATAAATGATTGATAAAAAATAAAATATACTTGTATGCATGCAAAAATAGTTGAAAAAAAAAGAAGGCATTAACATTTAGCTGTTAGGAATTATGTGTGTGTGAAAGTTCAGTCACTCAATGGAAAGATATCCCCAAACCAGGAATAAGTCTTGTGACAGTGTTACTTCTACCACATACAAGAATTATAAGAGGAAAAGGAAGAAAGAAACAGGAAGTGTCCTGTTTTTATAGCTCCCTAAACAGTGTCACCTACAGTATCTTGGCAAACCAAGTGAAAGTAATCCCACAAATACAATTCAGTAAGTATTTATAAAATAAATACAATTCCGTAAGTATTTATAAAATAAAGAAATAAAATTTAAAAAGAGTTAGACATTCCTAATTTGGATATTAAAAGTTTTGTATTAGAAATAAAATTAAAAAATAAAGTGTGAAAAATGCAATATAATTCATTTCTTCTATATCATAAGTACTTAATCATTTTCTTTGGCCACAAAGGTTAAAAGAATTTTTTTTTTCCTGGAAGGGAATGGGAGAAGAAAGAATGTCATCTCTCTTATTCTGAATATTAAAAAGGCACATACAACAAGAAATAGAACTTGAAACTATGACATGAAATTTGAAAGATACAAACATTTATTAGACATATATAAAAAATATAATAAGTTATGAGTTTTACAAGAAAAAGACTTGCACAAACATTTCTGTTCATGTGCCTTATTATGAACAAGGCAAGGTAACAACACAATTATAGAAATTATTGGCTCTAAAAAAGATTTACAATGCAAATTTTTAAATCATGAAAAATAAAAACTTGTGTAGGTGATACAGAAACTGTTGAAAAATGAAGAAATTACTCTTAGAAAAAAAGTACACCCATTTAATAGATAAACAAAAAAACCTACTTTAGTTTATCCCACAAGAGCCTGGAAGATTTAATGACATATTTAGAATGTTTAGTTTTCTTTCTACTTCCACATGTTTCTCTGGGAGTTTTTAATGAACGTTTTGAAATTTCTTTGTTTTAAAGTTTGTTTTTTTTCATGGTCAGCCTAAAGGTTCTCTTTGTTCTTCTTTTCCCTGGCATAGTTTTTAAGAATGCTAAAACCTTTCTGCCCTTTACTCTGCGGGCAACTTTCACACGAGGAAGCCTAAAACCCTTCCAGAGACAGCCAGCCTGCTTCATGTCTGACATCCAAGTCCTTCTCCTGCCTCTCTTTCTCCAGCTGACTATCATTGCATATGATGTCTAACTCCCTTCTGCTGTTATCCACTGATCTGTTCTTATATACTCTTGTCAGTTGTCCAGGTTTTTTATATTAAACATCTAAATTCCAAACAATGGTAAAATAAAAATAAAGAAAACATGGATATGCCTGTTAAATAATTTGTATTTACAAACATATGTTCAAAAGGGTCAAAAAGTAGTAAAAATAGTCTTTCAATGAGTTAAAATCTTTGGTTAGTTGATTCACAGGAAAAATTGTAGTTTAGAAAAGACATAGTAATAACAAGCTGTGGTTGAGGAAAGACTTTTATTGTTAGTGAAGATTCACTGAACATATTTGTTGTTGTTGGAGATGATTTGTATGAAGTTGCCAACTTGGCTGTCCATGCTGTTATTGGAGATGATTTGTATGAAGTCGCCACAGAGCTCCTCGTCAGTGTCTGTCCCTGTGGTGCAGCCAACTTAACAATGTGGAACACAGGCTCTCTCTCTCTCTCATCCCCACAGAATCCCTCCCCACATGGATCCAGTGATACCTGACCCTTCTGGTCCTGTCTGAATTGCCTCTGAACAGCTGTTGGTCACTGTAGAGCCAACCTTCAGAAATGGGCATATGTCACCGATGATGATACCAACTGCCAGTGCAGGTAATTACAAACTATGGAGCATCTTCTAGTTTGACCCAATCTTGAAAATTCATGCACACTTAATGACCTTAAATCCATGACACCCCAGACAAGGCTTTGTGTACAATACTGGATGGGTGTAGTGTAGCAAGTCACCGACAACTGTTTCTTTCAGCACACATTGTTGGGAGACAGTCACTTCTCTCCAGTTGGAACTAACCACATTGTAGGGGGATATTTATGTGAGAAAAATATTATTTATAGGTTGCATGAAAAAATTATATTCCCTCCATACAATTTCAATTTTTTCTTTAGCAAAGGAACAAGAAGCAATAAACAAATTTGTGAAAAGACAAAAGCAATATTCGATAAACAAACAACTTTCATTATATTTTTGTAAAAAAAGGATTTTACATTATGGCATAGATTTTTGAATGAAATCTATGTTTGTTTAATTAGTGTTGAACTCAATTTATATCTATATTTGACTTTAGTTGATGATTTCAGATAAGAAATGCAGTTTGGTAGAATGTATGAATGAAGTTTCATAAAGTGAGTTGTAGGTGTAAGTTTTATTTTTAGAAAGTTACTGTTTATTTAAGCAATAAATTTACATAAAAATTATATGCAAATTTAATTCAATGAAGTTGTCTTCCTTTGATTAATATTGTAAGACAATGTGCTTGAAAGAATGGAAAATGTAAAGTTAATTCATTTGCAGGAAATAAGTTCAGGCTTCTGCAAAAAAATGAATTGGTGAGTGAGTGGAGATTTCTTAAAGTTTATGAAATGTTCATAGAAATGTTAAAAGATGATGTGATGTGGATTCTTATTGCAAGTCTTACAGAGTCACAATGTTCACTGGTGAGTGTGAATGAATTTTTTCTATTTATTTACTTTGGGTGATACACAGAAAATAGGCACCAACTTTAAACTTAGTCACAAGCTGAAAAAAATACTTGTTCGTGGGTGGATAGTAACGCCCACTTGCGTGTTTATTGACCATTCAGAACTTGGGTTTTTTTGAAAATGTGTGTGAAGCTGGATTTGTTCTATGATCCACTTTTTTTGCAAAATTGGACAACTTATTCTAGTGTATTAAATGATGTAGAATTTGAGTTTGTGGGGTTCAGCGTACCCGGATTAAAGGAGAATTTAATACGGGATGCCCTGCCCACAAAATACAACGCAAATCTCAAGAAGAAACAACACGATAAGGAACGTTTATAAAAAATAGAACATTGTATATTTATTATCTTGTGAATAGGGTAAAAAAGATTAATGTTTTAGTTCATTTAAGCAAAAATGTGATTTTGATAAAAATGTCTGTGTTTGTTGTCTTTTAACAGAGTAGCAGAATAATGTCTGTTTCTTTTGTTTTGTATAGTTGTAAAATGAAAAAGGGGCGAGCAATTTAAGTTGAAAAAAGAGAGTGTGAATGAGGAATAAAGATAAAGGAAAATGTACTTATGAATTGTTTTGAAGTCAGTTGTAAATTTGTTGTTGTTGTTGTTCCTTCCTACTCCACTTTTCGGTTCTTTGTGTAAGTTTGAGTCAGTGATGAAATTTACTGTCAATCTTCTGTGATCTTTTGCGCCCTTCTCTGACTGACTGACTGGCGACTGACTTGAAAACTCTGTATTTATTGTTGACTTTTTTTTCACACTGGCTCGTTATCTTTTTTTTGGTCAGAAAATTAATTTCACACCTTATTGTGAAATCTGTTTTTGGTCGTTTTGATCCGATTTTGCGGGTGTGCAAATCTACTTTGTGTTTTTTTAGTCATTTGTTGGAATATAGGATTTGTATCCTATAAGTTCTACAACATCTTTGCTCTTTAAAACTGAAATATCTGGGTTTATATAAGAAATTTTTCAAGAAAAATAGGGTTTTAGTTTTCTCTGATTGGTCAAATGGTGATGCTAATTTCTAACTAATAGACATTTTGATTTAAACTGTGTGTGATGTATTGTGGAGTCTTTTTGGCATGTTTGTAATATTGTCTGTTATTGAGTAAAAAATAAAGTTTGGGGATGTTTTAACATAGTATGTATGTTTGCACGTAATTATGTTAGATTAGGGATTTATTTCCTATACTCTCAAATGAGGCTCAAACAGACCTCAACTTTAATTTAATTAGAATGGAAACTTTTTCATTGGATAAAAAAATACAAGGTAAATATGTTTTTCCAAATTTGAAAAAAAATGGATCCCAGTCCACCACGAGAGTTATTTCTGACTGTCCTTTTTAGAGTCAATTCTCAATAAAAAGAAAAACTTTTACACACAAATGAAACAATTTAATAATTCATCTGGCTTTCTTTTAATACACTTCATAAAAGTGCATTAAACAAACGTAGACTATAATTTATTTATTTACACCTTTTAATTTAGTACTGCTAATAAAAAAAAAAATTATAAGATTTTTTTTTTTTTTTAATTTCTGGAAAAGAAAATACATGATCGGAATATGAGGCGAGATAACGCAATTAAAAGCAGGTAATTCAGTTTTTCCATACATGCATTTCATTCAAACAATATTGTCATTGATTTTGTTTTATTATAACATGAGTGAGTTCATAACGTCTTCTGTAATAACGACAACAACACGTGTAACTCGTTTCAAACTATTTTATTATCTGACCTTTCTGAAAAGGAAAACAGCAAAACAAGGGGCACAACTCAATGCATTTTTCACAATGATTAAAAAAAATTAATCATTAAATCATTGTGAAAAATTCTAAGTTTCATCGGTCTCAAAAAGTTTAATTATATTCCATTTTTTATTTATTTATGGGAAAACGTGAATGATCGAAATTAATTGAAAATAAGGCTAGGTAAAAAAAAAAAAGAAGGAATTTAAAAAGGTAATTCAGTTTCCTCACATTTCTACTTATGCATGAATCTTAAACAATCAAATTATAATTAATTTTTTTCCGTTTTACTTCAGTCTAATTTTATGTAGAAAATCAATAAACTATTTACTCAAAAAAAAAAAAAATAAATTGAAATACGAAACTATATTGTCGAAAAATAATCTATTTCCGGTTATTTTGAGAATCGATATACGGCAATACTTCCGGTTGTGTATCGTGTAACCTTCGTGTATATTAAAGTTTCAGTAAGTAATAAGTTTCCTCTTGTTTTTCACAAAAGAATATTCTAAACCGACGTTCCGTCATCAAAATAGATTCTTACTGTTAAATTCAGTATGTAACTTATAAATAATGTATTTGAAGTTCAATTTGTAATAAATTTAAGCGATTTTTGAGTTCGTTCGTAGAATGTCTTATGGTCGTTGGTAGGCATTGTTGTGTGGTTTAGTTTTAGGGTGATTGTTTTATTAAAATACATTGACTGCTAGAAATGCAGAGTTCTCGATTTTTAGAGGTCTTAAAATATATAATATCACGATCATTGATTTGATTGCATCTAATTTAGTTACTATTAGCAATAATGGCGCTAAAAATCACATCCCTCAGTTAGCTGGTTATATTTCGATCGATCAGATTTTTTGGCTAATGTTTTAATATTTATAAATGTTTTACCATCAATAATAATTTTAATTACATTAAAATTAAATGTTTTATTAATAGTATGTATACCCACTTTTATAAATTACAAAAATGAAAAAATATAGAGAACTGAACAAAACAAAAATGAAAGTTTTTCAATTTTCATTATTTACGATTTTATTTTTCTGTTTTCATTAAGAAAGTAAGAATAACATTAAAAAAATTGCTTTTAGTTTTATCTATATAAATTGCTACTAAACATGTTTTCAAGATTTCAGCCCTTCGGACATTTTAAAGGTGTTTTTTTTTTTTTTTCTTCATGCGCTTAAAAAGATCTAAAACTTTTTCTTCCAATTATTTTTTATAATTAATTTTAAAGAGTTTTTGGTTTTTAAATAACGTCTGTAGGGCTTTAAAAAATTGTTTCGAAGAGAAATTTAAACTATCTCACAAGTAGTCACCTCTCATTATTGCTGTTGTATTCGTTCTAATTCAAAATAATGTTTTGTTCCTTTGTGATGTGATTTAATCCGAAAAGTAATGCCATCAAACTGGTATTCTTATCTCTTGCAGAATAAACAGTTTTTTCCTAAATTTTTTTTTTTATAAGCGAAAGTAAGCCACTGAATAAATGGTCGAACACAGCAGTACCTTGACTTCTAGTTTAATTCGTTCAGATGCTTGGCGAAGAGTTTGAAATTAGAAATCACTTGCTGGTCCATGTGTGGAAGGTACAGATCCTTTATAAACTTGAATTCTTCAAGGATGTCATTTTCGATGTTAGATGGGTGAGCAGGTGCATTGTCCAAAACGAGAAGGGCTTGCAGGAGTAGGTTATTTTCTGGGAGATATTTCTTAACGTCAGGATTAAATACCAAATTCACCCACTCTACAAAGAACTGCCTGGTGACCCACGCCCTCAGGTTTGTCCTCCACATAACCTGCAGGTTTTCTTTCAGAATCTTATGTGACTTAAAAGTTCTGATGTTTTCCGAATGATAAACGAGCAGTGGCTTAATCTTGAAGTCTCTTCTTGCATTGGCGCAGTGTGAGGGTAAGCCTATTCTTCATTGGTTCGTGACTTGGCATCCTCTTCTCCTCTGCCGTTATATAAGTCCTCCTTGGAATCTTCTTCCAAAAAAGGTCCTGTTTCATCACAGTTGCAAACTTGCTGAGGGATGTATCCTTCAGCTGCTAGAATTCCAGCAAAAGTTTTGAGGTAATCCTCAGCTGCTTTCATATCCGTGCTTGCTGCCTTATCATACCTGACAATGGAGTGAATGCCAGTCTTCTTTTTAAATTTCATGAACCAGCCCCAACTGGCTTTAAATGCCTGCTCGATGCTTTGTCTATCAAGGCGCTTGGGGTCTTCTGCAGTACATCAGCCTAAATAGCTTGTGCCTTCTCGCAGATTATAGCCTCCATCAAAATATCTCCTGTGAGCTGCTTCTCTGTCAACCACACCATAAACAGATTCTCCTTATTTTTATGGATTGATGTCCACTGTTTAGAAATTATTTTAGCACTCTTGGTTGACATTATAGCCTTTATCAACACTTTCTGCTTCAATATGGTGAAGATCGTAGAAGTGCAACTGCTTTTCCAAGTTGACTACATGCACATCATGGTCATGTTTTTTAATATTTTCTTTCTTTAATTCAATGGACATCATCTACTTCTCAGCACTGTCCTTTGCACTCACTTTCTTTGGACCCACAGTTGGAAAACTTTTTTGCAAAAATAACTGCAAGCATAACAATGATGCTTCCACTGTGAGCTAACCACTTAACCCTTTGAACCTTGCATCCCTGAACAATTTTAATCCTTCTGCCTGAGCTCCTGAGTCAAAATTCGCAAATAATTGGTATATAATGTTTCATGGTAGATATAAAAATATTTACGAGTGACTGAGCATTACATCTTTTTACTCTACCACCAGTAAAGTGGTGGTCAGAGCTCAAAAGATACAAGTGAGACACGAGATGTTGGGCAGATGTTGTGACATTCTATGTGTCAACTAACAGTGAGGTATCTGAAGCTGGCTCTTAACTCAAAGCAACAATTCCTCCTAATGATGGCTTGTATCTCAAAAAACTCATTAGTTGGGAGACTTGTAAGCCAAGGTACAACTGTGCTGTGGTCTGTGCTAAAAAGTGTATGGTAATAGAAAACACCCGAATAAGGTCATTTTTAATGGAAATTTATTTTTTGAGAAAAATATTGCTTTAACTTATATCCATTTTTTATATTTATGTCAGTTCTTTAAACAAGCATGTGTCTTGATTAAAAGAATTTCATAGTTCTTTTTTTTTTTTTTTCTAAAACCAATTTACTACTATAGCTGCTGTGAATTCTTCATGTTTTTGTTACATATCACACATTTCAGCATAGACCACAATATTTGACTTGTGCCAAATAGATGCTGTTGATAGAGATACATAGCATAAGGATTTTAACAAACAACCTCCCATTCTAAAGCAAGCTGTACAGAGAGAGAGAGAGAGAGAGAACAATGCTGTAAAGCTGAAGCTTCCACCAGTTGTCATACATTCTCTTGCTGCTGCCGTAGATAAAAAGTTTTTTTTAAAGAAATTTAATCATAAATCACAAAATTTAGTTAAATTCTGACCAACTATCTTAAAAACAAAGACAGTGATACAAAGTTGTAGTAGAAAGTATTTTTTACTTAAACGTTATTTTCAGTGAATACCCATATTTGAGTAGACACTTTGTTTATTTATTAAACAATATATTTATTTATTTTCATCTACTGGCCTGAATATACTGAAGATTACTATGTTACTGTGGCTATTTACAGTGTGCAATGGATAAATTGTTGTTTAAATTACACAAAAATGAAAATAATACAGACTGATATTTTAACAGATATATATGTCTGTTAAAATATCTGTCAAAATTACACAAAAATATCTTGAAATACTAAAGAGTAAATTTATTCAATAAAATTGCAATTGGCTTCAACTGCAACCTCCAGACAACTTCAGAATCTCCTGCGACTCTTCTGGATGGTCTCCTTGTTTAGGTTGGAGAATGCTGCCATAATCCTTGCCTTCAGTTCATCTTTGGTGTTACAAGGAGTTTTGTTGGTCTTGCTCAACTGCGCTCCACATATAATAATCAAGGGGGTTGCAGTCTGGGGAGTTAGGTTGCCAGGTGTAAGGGGTGATGTAATTACAGAAATTGTCTGACAGCCATGATTGGGTTCTCCTGTTTGTGCAGCATGGTGCAGAGTCCTGTTGTCAGATATAGGGGCTTCCAGTAGGCACATTCTTGACCTAGAGCAGCACTACATCTTTAAAGCACTTGATGTAGGCCTCCATGTTAAGTCTGTTCTTTTATTGTTCTCTCTCCTTAATATTGTTTTCTTTTTCTCATATTATCTCACACTCAGTAACCCCTTGCATCTTAGTTGCTTTATTGCCTTGCTTGGGGGTGAAATGATTTAAAAAAAAAAAAAAAACAATTAACTAGGTTTGGTAGTACAGACTTAGTGGAAACAGGGTTAGAAATAACCAAGCATAATGACCAACAAATTATGATAATAACAAAGATGAGGACATTAGTTTGAATGTAAATAATAATTCCTCATCCCCCCAAAGTCAACAAATATATATGACAGCCTGTTAATTTATAAGCAAAAAATGATGTACAATTTCATGAAAATTTGCAGGGAGCTTTTGCATGCACATCCACCAAATACAACCTATAAATGAAGATTTTTAATATCTCAAAATAAAATTCTTTTAAATTCTATTGATTAGACAAGCTATGAAAATGTATAAAATTGGTGGGGAAAAAAAAAAAAAGAAAACATATACTGGGTTTGTTTGCCATACAAAATGTAATCCTTCTTTCTCTTGATCTACAGTTCATTTTGAATTCAGTTTCTTCCTGATTGTATATTGTCAAGAAATATTTTCTTGTTTGTGATCAATGTGTTTCAGGAAGTAATGCTTCAGAATATAAATGTGTCATATTCCATGTGTTTTTTTTGTTTTTTTCTCTTGTGAAAGATTTCTTTCAGAAAATAAAATCCCTCTTGATTCAAAAAGAAAAGTTGATCATGGTGAGAACAAACAATGATTACATTTTTTCTTCAAATTTGTTTCCTTTTTCTTTTAATATATCTACCAGTATTTGATAAAATAATTGAAATTTTTTTCATTGTTTAAATTGTGAGTAAATGAATGACAGAATGAACAAATTTTTGTTATGCGTTTTGTTCCTAGAAAGGACTTCTTCAGTCTAATAATTGTTTTATCCATGGAGTGAGGAATATAATAAACACAGTTTACAATTTTACATTAAAAAACAATGTAATATACATAGATACAAATCTACAAATCAACCATTCACCCCTGCATGGAGTATTGCTGCCATATATGGTCTGGAGCCCCTTCTGTTTGCCTCGGGGTTCTTGATAAGATCCAGAGATGGATATGCAATACAATTAGCCCTGATCTGGCATCTTGTCTGCAGTCGTTCTCTCACAGACATGCTGTCGCCTCTCTCTGTCTTTTTTACAAATACTTTCATGGTAATTGCTCCGATGAGCTGCTTTCACTGGTTCCCAGGCTTCATGAATTCAAGCGTCCTACGAGGCTAGCATCCCGCTCTCATCCTTTCACTGTCAAAACTGTTAAATGTAGCCATCTCTTCTACTCCAATAGCTTCATATCTCGCACCTCTCGCCTGTGGAACTCCCTCCCCTTTTGCTGCTTCACTGATCGCTATAATCTCCAACTATTCAAATGTAATGTCAATAGATGTCTCCAATTGCCTTGATCTATCCACTATCCTTCTCTACATCTTTTCCTCTATCGCTCCAAATCCTATTTAACCCCTTGCGTGCTAGTGGCTTCCAGCCCTGCTTGGGGTGAAATGCTTATAAAAAAAAAAAAAAAAATTTGTTTCTGCTATCTTTTTCTAAAATGAAACTTTTTGATTGTTTCTTTATGTACTAATTCATAATTTGTCTAGTGTTTTTGTTTACCTGACATTCTATCTATTTAAAAAAAAAAACATTAATTTTTTTGAGCTTCTGAAACTCGTATACAATGTTTATACACATACATTATATATATTCCAAAGGTTGTCATATCTCACACTTTCTATAAAATGTTTCTTTGGCATGCATCTCAAATAGCATCTGACAACTAAGTCTGGATGAAAGCAGAAAACTGGTGCCTCATAATCATCTGCTTCAGGTAGATAGAACCCGACAACCCAGGAAGGCAAACCCTGATTTTAAATTCCCACTTGCCTTGCGGTTGTATCCAAACATGGAAAAAGCATATGGAAGTAAATCCAGACAGAAAACCTGGAGTGAAGTAGTCTTAAAGGCAGTTGTCCTGCAGCTAAAGCGTCCCTCATATTTAATGCCTTGTATTCCTTTGGATCTTGTTAGTACAGTTGGCTTCCATACACCCACACTCAGGCCTGTGCCCTGAAGAAGTTACTCCAGTTTTATCACCAAAGAACTGAATTTTAACAAAACACCGAACTACCTTTATCTCATGAGATGAATTGATGCCTACTACTAATATATCCACTAAAAATAATGTTTGCAGTAATATATATATATATACACACACACACACACAAATAATGAAATAACTATTTTCTATATACCACTTTCACAACTCTGAGTCTCAGTAGCAATTGTTAGGTGTAAATCTAACAGTCCACCTGATAATTGCTAGCCACATGAAATTCAGTTATAGAATTGGTATGTAGAAGCACTAGCTATTTCATTATTTGCTTGTATACATAAGCTCTGTCCTTTAAAATTGAGCACTTGGTTTTCCATGAGTAAATAAATATGTGTGTATATATTTTCTATTAACTATATATATGATATTTAGTGGGAACACATTTATAGTAAAAAGAAATGTCAAATTAAAAATCCATCTATTGCTTAAAAATAGACCTCACACACACACACACACACACACACACACATACATACATACATACATACATATATATATATATATATATATATATATATATATATATATATATATATATATATACACACACACACACACACACATATATATATATATATATATATATATATATATAGAGAGAGAGACGGGAGGATAAAATGAAAAGTAAAACACAAAGTAAAGGTATAGGAATTAATTTTAAAACTATTATCTATCAGTATAACAAAAACCATACTACATTGTGTCTGCTATTTAATACTAGTTTGTAAAACTGCTCAGGTCTGAATTTGAACAATTTTTTTAAAAGTATGCTATTGTTTTCTTTGATAGCAAGAAACACTCTGAAAAGCAAATATGGGAGACAGACAATCTGATGATGAGGTAAGTATGATTTTTTTGATAAGTAAATCACAATTGTTGCCAATCTTTCAGGGAGGTTTAAAAGCTTGATTTCATATTCAGTGGAAAATATGGTGTATTTTTTTTTTTTTTTTTTTATTGTATGTCGTACTGAAATTAGATCAGGTTTTTGGGAAAGGTATGAATCCACCTTTTCTACCTTTTGCTATGGGTTAATTAGTAAGACTTGTATCACTAAAACTTTATTATCCCCACCCCACAAATTTTGCAATCTGAATATATTTTCTGGCTTTAAATAACCTGCAAAAGGTTGATAAGCCATAGAATACAAATCAATCAATGTATATAATATTGATTAATTAATATTGATGACTTCTTATTTGTTACATCTAAATAAATAAACGCCAAATTCTATCTATCCATCCATGTATCTGAAACCCTTCTAACTCTGGCCACACCTCCTCTACATAAACATATACATTTTTTGAATCAGGATGATCCTAGGATTGAAAATCTGCCCTTCATCTGATGCTTGAACATCCAGTATTGGGATTAGTGTCTGGACAAGGAGGGAACAGTTAAAAATTCAAATTTTAAAATAACTGAAACAAATTAGTGATTTTTAAAAGTTTTTAATTTATATTGATTTTGAAGTGACACAAAAACTTTGTGAATTTAAATTTTTTTGTTTTAAATTCAGTTTAAGATATCTCCAAAACTTTGTGAATTGAGGAAATCAATATTTCTTCAAAATGCCAAAGAATCAGAGTTGAAGTGAGAGGTTTCATGATTAGAAGACTTAAATTCAATTGAAGTTCAAGATTTTTCAATTTATCAGTTTTCAGCCTAAGTCTGTCTTTTGGCCAGAATTGAACTTATAGCCTGAATCAGAATTAAAGTGAGGTTTTGAATTTCCATGGAGTGAATTAAGGAATTCAAAGTTATTTTTTTCAAAATTATCATTTATCTGTTTTCTAAGCTGGACCAGAGATCCCTTCAGTTTTGGACAGGAAGCCAAATTAGCCTTCCATAGGAGCTAGCTTAAAAGTCAGCAAGGAGTGCAGTTTTTAATCTAGTAATAAATAAGAGCATTTCTTCAATTTCAAGGAATACATGTTTTTACATCCTTTGATATGATCAAACTTTGTCATGGTTAACTATTGTGGTAACAGCTTTCAATGCAAAAAAAATTATATGATTCTAGCTACTATTGCCTGACTATCAAAGGTAGTTATGGGAGAGGGATTTGCCCAGACACTCACTCACCCACCCATTCTTTCTTGTCAACTGCCATGTCAGTGGCAACACATTTTGTCAAGATATCTTACAATGGAACAAAGTATTGGGAGAAATGGATTCATGCCTTTTCTAATGTTAGAATGAAGAATCAAAGAAACATAATTCATTAGAATGAAAGAAACATAAACTACCCTTGCCAGAATTTGAACTTGGTAAATCAATTCCATTTATTGTGGCGGTAACTATGATCCAGTATCTTCTTGTGCCTGTTATGTTACTGTTAAATTCATTTCCTCCATATTCCAAATGTAGGTAGAAAGTTCCATTCAACCAATTTTTTATTTTCCTTAAGAATTGCTATTTGGGGAACAGACATCCATGTGGATGCTTCCCTGAACACAATATTATTAACTTCAAGTCAAATTTCAGTCATTATCTATCCCCCTTATCCTCACTTCCTACTACTTCCTTTTTAATTCATATCATATGCTTTATCATAGCCATTTTGACAGTAACTTGAGTGACTGTCGAGCCTTGTATTAATATTTTTTTTTTCATCCTAGATATTAGGACGTCTCTGTAAACGGCCAACCGCGAATCAAAACAAAATGTAGTCTGGTCTAACATGATAGTGATTTTTTAATGTTTCTCACTAATGATCCCATTTTTCATAACGATTTGGAGTAAAAACTTATCCTTATGTTGTAACTAACTAATATTCTATTGCGTTCTTACAATGAGGTAGCTAAACTTACATATGTCACAAAATTCATCCGTCCCTAAAGCGCAGTGGATATCGCGCTGGACTTCTAATCCAGAGGCCGTGGGTTCGAAACACACCATGGATGATGGCATTTTCATCCTAGATATTAGGACGTCTCTGTAAACTACTACTACTTCTATACAACGAGCATGAAGTTACTACTACTACTATACAACACAGCTTAGAATACAAAAAATATACTAACAATGAAATGCTTGAAAATGTCTAATGAATTAGCCAAAAGTGTTTGCGACAATAATTACTATGGACAGTTTCTACACCCTCTTAGTCCTCTGTAAGGACTAACTGAAAACTGTAAACATACTAGAAAAACTGAATAACAAACTTGTAAAAGTTTCCTTGTCCCTCACATTTAATGAAATATGTATAAAAGAAGGATTGCTTTCTAAATATACAATATAAAAAGATATTTTATTTTTAACTCACAAAAAGTCGTATAAGGAAAACGAACATTATTTATGTCTCTAATAATCATTTTTTTTAAATTTTATGTCCCTTCAAGAGGTAGGTGATCGTGACCCTCCACAGATTCCTTTTCTTTATTATATGTGAATTGCTATGATTTCTTTTGAGTGATAGTGGAGTCATTTCTTGTATTGCCATCTCCACAGTTTTGAATTCAGTTCTCCTTCTCTTAGATTTGTTGCCACCCAAGCCTACAGAGCTTAATCTGTGCTGTTATTTAAGTGAATGCCTGGGAGTAGAGATGGATTCATGCCTTTTCCCAGAGCATTTGTGAAAAAATGTACTCAACAGACAAGTTTGATTTGAACTCTACTCACCCATTCTCTTTTCCATCCTAATAACCATTATGCTACTCATGCAGCCATTATAATAATTAATGTTGTCATGCTTAAATCTACCAAATAGAACTGAATCTTTTGTCAATCAAGAGAAAAAAAACTCTTTATATCTAAGGACTATTGTATTTGTTATAGTGATTTAGATTTTTCTTGTATTGTCATTGATATTCTTAATAACCTGTTTAGTCTCATGTTGGTGAAATATTTTGTGTTTTTTATTGTAGGGGCCATCTGAAATGGATGAGGAGCTGCAGCAAAAGGTTGTCCTGCAACAGCAAATGCTTGCTCTACAACAGCAACAGCAGCAAGTGGCTGCAGTTATGTCACAACAAGCACCACCTCAGCCTCCACCACCACAGCCTCCACCACCACCTCCAATTGTTGTTGCAAACACAGCAGGTCCAGCTGGAGGGGATTATATTCAGCTAATGGAGAAAGTACAGCAACAGCAGCAGTTGTTGGAAGCAGAGAAACAACAACATATGTTGATAGAACAACAGAGGGTAATTATTGATTGCCACTACTGATGACATTCATTCCTCAAGGACTCTTTCTTTCTGAATGCATTTCTATAGGAAAACCATTAGCAACACTATTACATTATATCACTAATGATCAATTTCTTTCTGATTTTCAATTCATTTCTATAGAAAAAAAACATTAGCAACACATTTACTTTATATCACTAATGATCACTTTCTTCGTGATTTTCAATTCATTTCTATAGAAAAAAAACATTAGCAACACATTTACTTTATATCACTAATGATCATTTTCTTCCTGATTTTCAATGCATTACTATAGAAAAACATTAGCAACACATTTACATAATGTCACTAATGATCACTTTCTTCCTGATTTTCAATGCATTACTATGCAGTAAAACATTTATAATACTTTTACATTATGCTACTAATAATATTGGGTTTGGTGCCCAGAATTAATTAAGACCATGTCCAACTAGTTGGGTGTCATGCGTAAATGTTTTAATAAATTAAATCCACAATATCGTGGGTTGTAAAAGCAACTATTTTCTCGAAATAAAAGCTACATCAGAACAGTATTTTCCCCACTCATCAATTAAACCTGTTTTGAAATTGTAATGAAATTTTCTTGCAAAATCTTAAATGGTATTATGCTTCCAAGGTACCATCCAATATAACCTTATTTGTATTCAGCTTAATTTATATTCTAATTCACAAATAGAGTAATAGACAAAGCATCTTTTTTTTTTTTTTTTTTTTTTTTTTAACTGAATTTTACTTGATATTACTAACAAGCAAAATTTTCTTCCGTTTCAGGAAATTGATACAAAATTTAATGTCTGAATACATGTAATCGCTTATTTAAATAGTATGAAATATCTAAACAAAATTATTTTTATGATGAATATATGAAGTTAATGCTTGTTTCCCTCCAGACTTATACATTCTCAGAAGCAGCAAAAGAATTTATATACTTTCTTTTTCAAACTATGTAAAAAGTAGCATTTTCCCTTCTGTCTCAAGATCTACATGTATGTCTTTTACTGGGATTATCTGAAAACTTTTATATCCAAGGTTTAAAGTTGATCTGTAGATTTTAATTGCCCAAATCACTTGCCATTCTGAAAAGTATTTAACACTATTATGCCAACTACCTTTTGAATCAGATTCCATCTACAAATAACTTTATATGTATACTACACAACAATTAAAGATTTTATAAGCACCGAGTACCAATTATGACTATGGTCCTGCTACATACATCAAAACACCCTAAAGGTATATGTGCTTCAAAACTGTACCATGACACCATTTCTAGTTTCTGAAAAGCTGAATTTTACTTTTGACTTTGCAAAATATTTCTCATTCATTCTTAGAAAAATTTGTTTGATTTTTCAGATTTTGCTTGATCAGCAGCAGCAGCAGCAGCAACAGCAGCAGGCAGCAGCAGAAGAAGCTGAAATGATGCGGCAACAGCAATTAGCCATCATGCAGCAACAGCAGGAGGCTGCACACAAAGAGGAACAGCAAAAGTTTATGCAACACCAGATGCAGACAGGCAAGCCAACTACTATTATATCAACTCTTAGCTTTCTATACTGCTTGACAATATACTTTGTTCTCCTTATCATTAGCATATAGACAACATACAGTACTTTGTATAATTGAAACCTGACCACTTTCTCTTAAAAATAAAAGTTACACAGTTTATGAAACCATCTTTCTTTTCTTTATCTTTATAGAACCAGAGCAGCAGTGCCAGAAATTACTTATGGAAAGTCATGTTTAGTTATGTAAACTCATCATACAAATCATTCATGTGTACAGTAAAATCCAGTATTAATTATAAAAATCAAAATCAAAAATCTAGTATAAATTATAGATTTATAAAAAAAATCCAATATTAATTATAGCTTTCTACCTATATCCCATTAATTGCCGTCAGTAAATCTGGTATTAATTACGGGCTTCTGTCTATATCCCATTAATTGCCCTCAGTAAACCCAATATTAATTACAGGCATCTGTCTATAGCCCATTAATTGCCCTCAGTAATCCAATATTAACTACAGGCTTCTATCTATAGCCTATTAATACCCTCAATAAATTCTATTATTATTTATAGGTTTCTAATTCCCACTACCCCATATTTTGGGACGGAGAGTATTAATGGATTAATGTTGAATCCTGAATGAAAATCCTTTAATTGAATTGACAAAAACCATTGCTTTTCTGATCTCAGGCAAGAGGTCAGAAAAAAAGAAAACCCACAATATTTTTTTCTCTGCTTTCAAATTTGATTTCATCTACAAATAACTTTTTGCAAATACATTTATCTTATTATTTTAATTTTTTTAAACTCTTAACATTCTGTTGAAAATTTACTATTCATGTTGAATATTTGCATTACCAAACAGAAATGAACAATAGACGAAGGGATAGAATTTTTTTCCTTACATTAAGGAGTACATCACTTTTTTTCTTTCTTTTTTTGACAAATATAAACAATGTATGCAGTATCATGCACTTCAAGATTAAAATGGTTAATGCATTCCTGTATATAACTGTGTTGTAGAGGATATTAAGAGTTAATCTTGTTTTGCCTGGTTTAAAAACTTATGAATTATTCAAAAAAAAAAAATGAATCAAAATGGTGATAGATTTTAAATGTTAAACTGACAGCTTTCTTGTTAAAATGTAATTTAAAAAGTCATAAAAATTCAAAGAAAATGTTAAATTTATTTTTGATTTTTCTAAATGAATTTAACACATCAGTTTTATTATAAAAAAGCACTACATTACTTCAGATATATATGCAACAGCAACAGTACCAATAATAATGAATCATCCTGGGCATGACGATAAACTACATCCAGCAGCAAGGCCTCTGATCAGGAGGTTTTGAGGAGCATGGAACCACCTCTTAATTGCTGGTGATCCCAGGTCAGCTCTGACCCGGGGTGATAGCACCTGTTAGGCTCCCAACTAGGGTCAAATAGTTAACCCTCAAACTAAAGCAAACTATGAAAGTATAAAAATACCTGTTAATGGTAAAAAGGCCAGCAATACATTTTCATAGTAAAAAAAAATTACCAGAAATACATTTTTGTAAGGAAAAAAATATTACCCGTAATACATTTTTGTAAAAGAAATTACTAATGCTCCCAAGAAAATTAAATTTTTGCATTAAATGACCCATAAGGAGTTCATATGCTGCTAAACAAACAACAGAAATTAAATTACTAGTAGCAGATGCTACCACACAGATACAGTAGCTTTTGCATACTTCTTGTTTCCTTTAACATGGCAGAAAACCAATAGACCAAAAAAGTGACAACAGCTTTTAAATAATAAGATAAAGTTGCAGCTCATAAGACTATAAATTTGGACAATTTTAAATTCTATTTCCATACTTAAAGCAGCAAAGTTATAACTTAGCAAATACACTTTTTAACACCTGTAGTTGTCATGGTAGAATACAACTTTCTCAATCTATTCTATGCATAAACTAAAACAAAGAAGATATTAGGCAATACTTTTTAACAGACAATAAAGAATAAACATACCTGAGTATATACACTAGCAGAAAATAAAATTACAATAGCCTGAACATGTTTCAATTTACTCAAGATTAAACATATAGGTTAAGATAGCTAAATTACAGTAAATGATCATATCTGGGTTTGATTTTCTTTGGAATTATCTCAAAACATAATTTTTCAATGGATTTCATTTTTAATTTTCTTGTCAACATTTCAATCCACCTTCCTGCAATGTCAACAATTATCTTCCAGTTAGTAGACTCTCTCCTATTGCTTCTTTCTTTCTCTTTTTGTTTGATTAACCTCTGGAGTTCTCAGTGTCACATGGTGGTGCATGGCTGTTCTTAGTTCGTGGAGCAATCCATCTGGTTGATTCTGATAATGAACAATACTCTGGCCTGCTGACTAGTGCTTCAATATGTGTAATTCTTCAGCATTCATCACATGTGGGTTGGTTTTCTCACACATTCTCACTGTGACATAAATGAAATTCTGGCTTGAGGCATATGTACTTGTCATCATATTGCAAGTAAACAATTTCCAATGTTCTACGTTCACACTCTTGTGTCTATATTTACCCTGATGTCTGTTATGGATGCTATGCTTGACCATGCTGCACTTCTCTTTTCTATGTGTGTTATAGTGGAACACACCTATTCTATAGTTAATAGACTCTCCCACCTATAATAAGTAGTAGTAGTAATAGTCACCAGTCGCTCAGTGAGTTGGTCAGTCAGTCAATGTCGGACAACCGTTAGTCAGATATTAAAGTATCAGCCACCCCAACTAGATTACTGCGTCATTACCTATTATATCAAGTTCCTAACGTTTTGTACATCGAACCTATTTTAGGACCAACTTACTGAAATACAAGCCTCCACTGTGAAACTACTCTACAACAATGTGCAGTATCCTTTCAGGACATAGGCGGTCATGGCTCTCCACAACTTTCTATCTCATGTTGCTCTTAATAGTTTTACTTCCTTTGCTAAACTGACCTCCCTCCCTGTTCCATTCCATTATCCATTCACACAAGCTCATTAGGTAAGTGACTCACTGCCTTCCCCTATCTCTTTTGCTCTCAATATGCCTCTGTGAAGGTCAAATTTGCCAAACCTTCCTTCCTTTTTGTGTGCAAAGCTGTTTCCTGATTTTTAATATAAGTTTTCTTTCTGTTGCCATTTTTCTTTAAGACTTCCTTGTTGCTTCCTCACTACATCCATTGAGTTTTACAATATGTTAATCTTGGAAAGCATTCATACTACATGGCCATCTAGAACTTGGTGGAGGAATGATGGAGGAATGTTCATATGACAACTGTTATCAACATTAGGGCACCAACACATCATGTCCAAAAAAAAAACATTGGACCACTCAAAGACTCATAATCTCAAACAGCTCTAATTGAATAAAAAAGTACATGTGTGTATCTCTGTGTGGTGAGAGACATGCTCTGAACTCTTACATCACATTGACCCTTATCACAGCATACATCACCATCTAAAGGTCAAACAAGCAGGGTCCAATATTAAAATATCTCCTACCCACTAGTATGTATATACTGTACCCAGATCAGCATCAAAATTGTTCTTTAGAGTGTTGCAATTTATTTTCCATCTCTGTGTGTAATCAGTTATAACCCCTAATGTTTTTTTTTGTTTTTTTACAGCTCAAATGATGCCTATTCCACCTCCCCCACCACCACAGACCACAGAAACTCAGATACCACCACCTCAGTTTGTGTCTCCAGCTGCAGGTCCGCCACCCCCTCCACCACCGCCACCCCCTCCACCATCAGGACCCATACAACCACCTGGCCCACCTATGGCCACTACAGGACCTCCACCCCAAGGAATTGCACCGCCACCCCCTCCACCGCCACCACCTCTCCAAAGTATGCCACCCCCTCCCCAAGCAATGCCTCCTCCTCAGGGCATTCCACCCCCTCCACCCCCTCAGGGTATTCCACCACCACCACCACCTCAGGGAGTACCTCCACCTCCACCCCAAGGTTTGCCTCCACCACCTCCACAAGGATTACCCCCACCTCCTCCCCCCCAGATAGGTAACCCACTGTCTACCCAGCCTCCACCACAGCAGAGTATTCCTCCACCTCCACCTCAGCAAAGTTTGCCACCCACAATGACTATAATGAGCCAGCCACAGGCTATTTCAATGGTGCCTGTAACGTCAACACCTGCTATACAAACAAATGTTTCTGCCGCAAATCAACAGAACCAGTCTTCTTCTAACACAGATTCAAAATCCCAGGTAAGTCATTTCTGAACCTGTCTTGTTTCTTACAAACCATTAAACCTAGTAAACGTAAGGGGGGAAAACAACAAATAAACAGTCTTCAAATTCCCTAGGGGAATTTTAATTAAAGACATTGTAGGTGCAATATTTCTGCTAAACTGACAATATTCCTAAAATATTATATACTGTATTTTTTCTATAACTTTGATTTTGTTATTTTGCAAAGCCTGCAATAAATACAAATTTCTTATTGATATAAATGCTATTTTTAGTGGTTACACGTGTTTGACTTGAAATCACTGTTATTTTAAACAATGAATTAATGTCAACTGGCATCGACAATGAGAAAACTTACGAAAAAATGACTACTGATACAAGAAACCTTAACCACAAGAAACAAAACAACCCAACATCAATACCAGTTTATAAAATTTAGGAACAAATATAGTAAATTTATTTCCTACCATAAAAAAGCAACACAACAGCATGAACTAATATATGAAGATGCGATGCATTAGAAAAAAAGCCAACAGCCAACATCATCTAAAGACACAATCATTAAAAAAAACATTATGAATGTGACAGCACACAAAAGACAAAAATCTTTTATAATGGCTTCTGATAACCAAAAGTTTTTCATATGGTCATCCATATGAAAATATATAAATACAGCCTTAACAAAGAACCAAATTTTTATATATACAGGGTGGGTGAAAAGTAGGTATACCATTGTTTAATTATTTATATATTGACGTGACGTTTTACAGTAACAGATATTTAAATATGTTTCACAATTTGGTTGTGCCAAAATTTAGGACCAGAACTAACTTCACCAGACTGTTTTTTCAACAAGATGGGGCACCTCCTCATAATGTTTTGGCAGTAAGGAACTACCTTGACGAAACCTTCCCACAGCTTAACACAAATGAACTTCTTTTGGGGGTTCATAATAAAGAATAAGTTTTATGAGAAAGCCTTCCACACAATAGACTAATTAAGAGTTCATCTTGGAAGAATTTATTGACATTGATTCAGATCAGAATTTGTGTCTACTGTGTGTCACAGTGTTCTGGAGAGGTTTGAAGAATGTTGCAAGGTTGAAGGATGACATGTCAAGCACTTACAACATTAAATTGTGTTAAACAAATGTAATTGTAATAAAATGTATTAAAAAAAAAACTTAAAAAAAACTATAAAGTGTATACGTACTTTTGGTCCACCCTACATGTGTGTGTGTGTGTGTGTGTGTGTGTGTGTATATATATATATATATATATATATATATATATTACTACAAACATTTTTTTTTTAATGGGTACACATGTTTGAGTGGTTATCCCTGTTATTTTAAACACAGTAAAATTAATGTCAACTGGCCTAGAGATTCAGATGTCCTTGCTAAAGAAAACTATGCCCCCTTTGTGGGTGATGAATTATTTGCCACCCTAAAGCTCCTTTCTCACAGACAAAACATCACAAGCCTCTCACTACTCTATCACTATTTCCATTGCATGTGTTCTGACAAGCTACATTCCTCGCTCCTACCAGCCTTTGCAAATGGGGCCCGCCATGCCATATACACAAGGATGAATCCTATCCCATTCCTTTTGTATTCCACTAGTAAGAAGTTCCACTCAGACAGCTTCTTCCCAAGGACTGCTTTGTGGAACAGACTCCTGGCAGGATGTTTTCCCTTCAAGTTTAGGGTTAACTATTATCTTTCCTGCACAACCCCATGAATTTCACTTCCGGCCTTTTCTTACACTCATACAACACCACACAGTAAGCCTCTAGTTTGAGTGGCTCTTGAGTCTTGTATTAGGTGAACATTAGTATAAAAAATTAACAAAGTAGGCTATACTTTGGTTTCCCAGATGAAAAATGGAATTCCTGTTGGGAGGCACATTTTTGTTTAGTAAGTACAATTTGTTGTCTTGGGTGGTAGACATTAATTTCACTATTTAACATAGAGATGTTACCCCAAACATGAACCCACTAAAATATAACATTTATAGTAATTAGAAATAATGTTGAATTTAAAAAAAAAAAAAAAAATGTACTTGATGCTAAATTTATGTCTAATTATACAATAATTGTGTAAATTTAATATATCTCATTAGAATAAATGTCATCTTGAAAAAATGTTTGATAAATAAGAAAGTATACTTGGTCAATATTTGAATGCCTGCTTGTCCATTTTCAGAAAATAACCATCCAAAACTTTGAGGTTATGTTAATGCACAAGGATAATTGAGATTTTAGATTGATACACAATCTTAGATAAAATCCCTTTGTTATTTTTTTTTAATCATTTCATTCCAAGCAAGGCAATAAAGCCACTAAGACAAAAGGGATTACTGAGTGTTGGATAATATAAGAAAGAAAAAAAAACACTATTAAGGAGGGAGAACAATAAAAGAACAGGAATTAAGAAGACAAAAGTTAACAAATGACATTGCACTTAAACTTTTGAAGTTCAAAGTTGACTGAGAAGCAAGGAGCTGGAAGAGAGTTTCACAAAAAACTGTTAACATAAAACTTACAGTTACACCTTGATTTTAATTATTTTTAAGTAACCGTTTGGCACTCTATAATAATAAAGGGGGCTTTAATTATTTCAGAAGCTTTTTGGCGACATAGATAATAAGTTTTTCTCTTTACAGATAACTGAGAAACTGCAGAAAGAAATCAAGCTTCCTCAGGCCTTGGAAAAAATTCTTGCTTTTATGGATGTCAGAGCTCAAGAGATTGGTATCAGTAGAGATGACATGGAAAAAACAGGTTAGTTATAAACATTTTCTTTTGTTCTACAAGCAAACAGCTACAGAAATTGGAATCCATAAATACAAGAGAATACTAAAAAATTTCTTAACTTTGACCTACTTACAAGGGAAGCATAATTGGACCAAAATTAAAACATTATGAAAGTTATAAACCCAAAGCAACTAGGGATAAGCAATACTTTTTGTAACAGTTTTAATATTGAGCACATACATATATAATGTCACAATAAAGATGACTAATACCATAAAACAGTGAACAAACATAGAATTGGTAGAACATTGTGTGTCAAGAGAAAAATCTAACTTTAGATTCCAAAACATTTAATTGAAGAACACAAATTCCAATGTATGAGCATTTCTTTTTCAGCTTTCAAAAATGATGAAGGGGAGGTGATGGGGATCTTTTTTTTTTTTTTTTTTTTTTTTGATCACATGATGATGGCTGATGAAAACTGAACATACTGTGTTACCCTTGAAACAGAGGTTAATTTCTTGACCTGTAAACCTTCATCATTAATTAAATTCATAGGAATTTTAAGAAAATATATAATGTAGAAAAATGATTTGCTTAATATGTTTTTTTTTTTTTTTTTTTTCTTCCAGAATCTAGTCGACAGCGAGATATGGAAGCTGATGATGAAGAAGCGGAGGAAGAGGAGGAAGAAGCTACTGCTACAACTGCACCTGTATCCAGCAATGATGTTGGTGTTGATGAAGATGATGATGAAGATTCAATGAAAGCAGCAGATAAAGGAAAAGAGGTTAGTTTAAAAAGAGAGATGTCCTCCTTAAAATATCCATAACGAAATTGGGGAAACAATCATTAGATTTCTCTTTCACTTTTTGAATAATGTTCTTGATATTTTGTATAATGACAACATTGTACATTAAATAATTTGTGTTGAAATTTTGGTAATGTTTAACCTATGTACCTGCAAAAAAAAAAAAATTGTGTCAAAAGATCATGTTTTCTCTTGACACTGTTATTACTGCCTTGACTTCCTTGGCAATGGTTCTAAAAATTATGTTTAGAATTTTAATAACAGAAATATTACACACTACTTAGTTGTTACATTATTTATTTACAAGATTAATTTTATATTTACGATATTATAAAATGTGAATATTCAAATTGATTGGCAATTAGCTGATATTTTGCCAACCATTCTAAAGAATACAATTTGCCGACTTTGCTGATTGCTTTGGTCAAATGGCTTAGTGTCCATTCTTCATTTAAGATTTCTTCATCAGTCATCACTTGGATGACAATAGATTTAGATTTGTACTTTTGGATGACTTTTTCTGAGAATGCATCTGAAAACACCAAGTTGTTGAGTTCATTTGTTATTTAAATTGACTTGGTCACAATGCTGTTTATGATTGTCAATAGCTGACTTGAAGAGTTCCTACTATCTCACATTCTATATAGAGCACACATTACATTGAGTAGACAATGATCTCAATACAAGAATTGCCAATCCTTTGGTTGTGGTACAGGATAAAAATTTTTACTGCCTTCCTCCACAAATGTCTCTCACTCAGGTCAGATGAGACCTATTATGTGTCAAGGTGCAAATGCTTTTCTAATTTGTTTTATTAGCATGCTAATAAGAATGTATATGGGAGAATATCTTTTTGCAAAAAGTTGTACATTAAATAACTCGTGTTGAAGCTTTGGCAATGTGTAACATATATACCTGCAAAAAAAACAGGGTTGGTACATATGGAATAAAATTCCAATAAATGAAAACATTATTCTTAAAAGAGTGCTCAATACCAAGTAGAACTAATAATATTTCTTCAAATTCATAATGTATGCATTTAAAATTTATATCAGTTAAGTATGACACTAATTTTTTCATCAGTGTCGAACTCAACTGATAAATTGGCACTTTGCTAAGAACAATAAAATATATTTTTTCCTTAATTTCATTTCTGAATAATCTTGAAATAACATTAAACATGATGCTCAGTTAACTTTAGAATTTGATATTTGAAATTTTTGATTTGAAATTTAACTGTTAACTTAAAATTAAATTTTTATATTGATTTCTAATTTAATCTAATCATAACTTTAATGCACTAATAGATAGTACTAGATTGCAAAAATTTAAATGCAATGTTAAAATACAATGTTAATCACTATCTACTGTCTTCCTGATTACTTTTTTCTCTTCTTGCTCATTATTAATGCTTCTGTTCCTAATTCTTCCACACCCTGTAACCACTTGTGTTTTAGTGGCTTTACTTCCTTGTATGGGGTGATACTGGTTAAAAGCAAAAACAAAAAAACATGACTCCTCTAGATGTCAATGCCACAGAATTCACATTTTTTTCACTTTTTTTTTTTTTTTTTATCTTTCTATAAGACAAAGAACCGTAGGAAAAAAAAGAAGAAGAAAAAGAAGACAAAGAAACATCCCAACTTCAATGTGGATGCCAGTGAACAGGAGAAGAAAAAGCAGATGGATGAGGAAGATGCTGATCATGATATACAAGTAGAGTGAGTGTAATCTTTTTTGATGTACATAGAAAAAAAATTATTCATATTCAATATCAATAGAAAAAACATAGCTAAGAGCTGTAAGAGCAACAACTATCGTGGACATGCTGAGTCCCTGGGAGCTTTCTTACTGTTTGTTGTCAATTAGCTGTTTGATGTTACCTTCAGTATCCTGACTCCAGAGTTTCATAGACCCTCCTGGAATTACACCATCCACTCATCAGGAGATATCAGCAATTGACTGCTTCGTCTTTTCGATTTTTCTTTTTTATATGCACTTTTCATTGGTGCAATTTGCTTCTTTTTTTCTTTTTCTTTTTTTTTTTTTTTTTCCTTTATAGTGCGGTGTGTGCATTTGTGTGCCCCTGTGCTTGGTCATTTGTCCTTTTCATTGATTTTTTTTTTTTTTTTTTTTTACACTCACCCCTTCAGCTTTTCTCTCTTTGTACTTTTTGACTATTACTTCAAATGTTATTTTTTTAGCCGATACCCGTATTTGTGTACTTTTAAACAGTATTCCATCTATCAGCCTGCACCCTTAAAAAAACGTACCCACCTGGCTGGATTCAAACCTGCATCTCTTCTTGCAGGAAAAAACAAAGTTTTGGATATATATATTTAAGATATAAAATGTGCAATATTTGAATACTTAGTACTGTCATTAACCATTATCAAAGACTTTTCTTTTTTGTGCTACTTTAGTTTCTTCATTTTCATATGCTGTGTTTCTGTTAGAAAAAACAATTGTAAATAATAAATATAATAATAATAAACCCAAAGTCCTGTTATATCATGAAACTGACACGATGCAAAAATCCAAAAGTCTTTGATAAAGGCTAAGATTAGAAAGTACTCAGTCATTGGGCTATTTATATCTAAATATTTGCCAAAACCAGGAAAATGATCCCAAAATAAATAAAGAAATTCTTTAGTAAAAAAACTATTATTGATCTTTAACCAAACTTTTGGAAATTAAGTTGCTCAAATAAACCACACATATATATATATATATATAAGGAAGAGGTTATAGTTGTTCCAAGAGAAAAGTGTATATTTTAAAAAGAAGAGAGAAGGCGTAAACGTTTTTGGTTATAATGTGAATTTTTTCTTGTGACCTTCATCAGGCAAAGAGTGGTTATTTCCACATATTAAAAGGGCATAATTTTCCTTATGTTCTCCAATGTTTAACCTTTGTATTTTGTGTGTAGTAGTAACCAAAATTTTTTTCTTGGACTGGAAGTCCAAAGAAAAAATTTGGGTTACTATTACATTATAACCCAAAAAATTTGTGGGTTTTTTTTCTTTTAATATATATATATATATATATATATATATATATATATATATATATATATATATATATATATATATATGTACAATGAGACCAATTATATGATTTTTATATTTTTGTTGTAATATTTATATATATATATATATATATATATATATATATATGTAGATGGGTTTAGATTCTTATTCTAATAGTCTTTTAATTTATTTTATTTTATTTTAAAATAAAGCTCTAAAAGAGGTCTTATTTGCTTAAAAGTCTATTAACATGAGGGTAAATGATGCCAAGTATTTCACAGCTTATGTAAGTGTACATGTATACATATTATATGTTTGTTTATTTATTTATTTATTTTTGTTTCAGATATGTTCAAGAACAGTTTGAGCTGGATCCATATGATCCCAATTATCATATATTTTCAAAAATATTTGATAATTTTAAGGTAAGCAGTTAGGAATTTATTTTCATGTGTTTTCAATATATCGATCTTGCACTGCAAGATCAGCTTACATTCCACAGAATTATAAAAGAATGCTATTACAATCAACAAAAAAAAAGTGTAATCATTAGGGAAGCATTGCTTATTAAATACCATTCTCCTGCTATCAATCCTACACTATTTAGCAGTGGAGGCAGTGTGCTAAAGGTGTTCTAAAAATAAAAGTGATGCCCAGGTCAAGTGGCAATGCATGGCATGTGACTGCCAAAAAAATCATACATGCCTCACTGCATATACTCCACACAGCAAAACTACTATGTAGAAATCAACACACAAATTCACCATCCAAAACAACATACTTGATAATGGCTATAGAACTAGCCAAAAACACTCAGAACAATAATAACTGGACAATTTCTATATTCTCTGACCCCTGAAAAACAGAAGAATGTTAGAATTCTGGAAAAACTCAATAAAAGATTAATTAATTCTGCCTTGTCAGCCATTCTCGTGTAAAATATGTTTATGTGTGTGTGTGTATGTGTATATATATATATATATATATATATATATATATATATATATATATATATAATCAAATAACCAGAGATAAGTAAGCATATAAGCCATTTGTTTACTTTTAGCAGCATAGACCTTGTGCCCGATGAACTGTAATTCAGTGAAACTTAAGTCACACACCAAAACATAGGTATTAGTATATGAACTAATATATATATATATATATGTATAAGAATCCGACAGAATAATAGGGTATAGAATAAAAAAGAAACATTTATAAATCTAACATGTTTCACTTTTATTAAAGCTTCATCAGAGAATGTGGTACAGAAAAAAATTTTTGGTATTTTTATTTTTGTGTTGTTTGATTTCCAATGGTTAAGCAAACTTCTTGTGAATTTTCCAGATAGCAGAACAGGATAAACCAAAGGATGTCCCTCGAACTGAAGAAAGGCGGGAGGAAGAGAAAAAACCTGAAGAGGTTCCTATTAAAGCTCGAGGTCTGATTGTAGATGACGAAGAAGTAAGTTCAGACTACTTTTCTTTTTCTTTTTTTTTTTTTTTTTTTTTTCATTCATTGGCTTCTCTTATTTGTTGATAGCTCACTAATTGTCAGCTGTATAAAATGCTTTAGTAAGTGAGGTTTATTAACCATAATAGAGAAATTTAAAAAAAAAAATAAGTAAAAGCCAGTTTTTCAATATTAAATGCATTTTGTTAAAGTAGTAATAATAACTGTTTGCATTATGCTTCATTATTGCTTTTAAGTGTTTATCAATATCCTAATTTATATACTGATTTTTTTTTTTATATCAAAAGGATTAACAAGGACCTCTAATTCAGATGAAGGTTTTCTTATACTTTAATGCCCACTCACATGCTGGTCAGAACACACACCTATCAGTAGCATTTGGTGTTCTGTCAAACCATGCATGTGAGTGTGTTCCGGATTGGTCACTGGACTATTCAAATGCGGTCCATATCTGTGCTGTCTTAGTGAAAGATGTAGGGCTCTTGGCCTCTTTTCACTTCCAACAAGTGAACATGCGTGTGTCTGTTCCTGCTTTCTGATAGACACATGTAAGAATTATGAGAACAGAACTTTCATTGTTCTATACTGCAGAAAACATTCACAAATATAGGAAACATGCATGTTGGGTATTGTTTCTTCAATGCAATAAATGTTATGATTGATATACCCTACATTTAAAAAATTTGAACCAACCCCCAGAATTAGCATGGGATAACCTTGATAGAAGAGTGAAAAAAAAGAAGAAAAAAAAGCCTCTTAGTCATTTAAAAAAGAATGGAATCAATTATCAAACTTATAATTTGAAAAACTTTTGCAACAAATGCTAAACATTTGTGCTGCAGTAATCAAGGCTAAAGGAGGCTATTTTGACGAGAGTAAAATTTACTCATGAAATGCTTTTTTTTTTTTCTTTTTGCCATAACATTTCTAATAAAAAATCATGTCTCACTTCTTATTTTTTTAACCATGTATAATTTTTTCATGTTTAAAGTACAAAGCAACTACTTTTTGGTTCAATTTTAAAAAAATTACCTGTGGCAGCCACAAACTTTTGAACTGTAGTATATGTTAGGACTATTCTCATTCTTTTCCCACGTCTAAACATTATAACTGTTATCCTTTTGTATTTGTTGCTTTTTTTAACAATGGTCATAATTTTAAAATGTAAAACTAAAACCCACATTTTTACTTTTCAATCTCCTTTCATTTAAAAAATAGATCAAAAATGCTTTTTTATATTGTTTATATCTTTACACTTCCAAGCAAAATGTACAATGAAGCAGCCATTCCAGGTGTATAAAGACTATATAAATACAGGGAAATGTATGATCTTTTATTTGATTTCATCAGTAAAGAAAATATCATGTATCAAATGCTTTATTTTGGTTAGCACACCACATTTGAATGTACATCTACTTAAAAATGTTTATGACCAAATTCTACTTTGTAACTTAAATAGTGTATTGTGTGTCTAAGGGGATGTTGAAAAGGTCTCATACTGATCTACATCCAAAAATTTGAACAAAACTGTTTTTTTAATTTCTTATTTATTGGTTGAGACAGGGACTTTTCAGCAATTTCTTGAATATATATGAATTAATACAATTAAAAGGTTTGTCACTTAACTGATTGATGCTACCTTCAGCATCCTGACTCATGAGTTTTGTAGACAGACCCTCCGGGAATCACTCTATTCACTCATCAGGGGGGTACCAGCAATATCAAGTAGTTTATTGCCTTAAATGTCTTTTCTCTCAGTATCCCACTGACTGGCAACATCTTTGGATTCACACTATCTTTGATATCTGTGTGTGTGTGTGTGTGTGTGTGTGTGTGATATGTATTATATATATGTATTTATTGCTTCAAATGTTATTTTTTATGAATACCCATATTTGAGTCCATGCTCTGTTTATTTTAAACATAATAAAGAGAATGTATTACATTTTTTCAAGTATGCAGACCAGTAGATAAAATCAATACTGTTTACAATAAATGGAATGTCTACTTAAATATGGACAGGATATCCAATAAAAATAATGTTAGATAAAAAATAAAATCATTAAGTGGGTGTTTATAAAAATTCAGATGTAAATAAAAATATAACTGTAAAAAAAAATGCTGCCAAAAAAAAAATAGTAATAGAAGCATTAACAATAAAAAAGAAACCACAATCATGAACACAGTCTCATCCTGGGTATGATGATAAACTATATCTGGCAGCAAGGCCTCTGGTCAGGAGGTTTTGAGGAGCGTGGAACCACTTCTTAATTGCTGTTGTTCCCAGGTTCACCCTAACCCGGAGTGGTAGCACCTGTTAGGGTCCCAGCTATGGGCAAATAGTTAGGCCCTAAATGGGGGTTAAAGCACTATGAAAGTATAAACATTTTTATACTAAAAATACCAGCAATACATTTTCATAGTATATATATAAAAAAAAAAAAAAAACGCCAGCAATACATTTGTATAAAAAAATTACCAGCAATACATTTTTGTAAAAGAAATTACTAATGCTCCCAAGAAAACATTTAAATTTCAGCACTAAATGATCCATAAGGAGTTGATGTGCTGTTAAGCAAAGAAGCAAATCAAAAGGACTTCTTTAGACTAAATATTTCTATAGATAGAATCATATATATGTAGGAAAGAGAACAAGATACAACAAGATGTTGGTTATAATTCTGCATTGAGAGAGACAGATCTGTGTGTTTCATGTGAGTTAGTGTATATATGAAAATATATATATATATATATATATATATATATATATATATATATATATATATATATACACACACATACACGTGTGTGTTATTTACTTCTTTAAATTTTCTTTATTTATTGTAGGATTTAATTCCTGAGGATGAAGCACCAAAACTATCCAAGAAAAAGCTAAAGAAATTGACTCGTTTAAGTATTGCCCAGTTAAAACAGGTAAGTCAATATTCTGTTTTTCATTTCAGCCATCTGTTATTGCAGCAAAGAAATCTTGTTGTTCACTTGGCTTTTCTTTCAATCTATTTAATCTTTGATACTAATTTATCCACACTGTCAAAAATGATAGCACTAAATTTTTGGTCATTAGAAGTTTATTGCTAAATTACTATTACTATCCATCTCGGAGTTAAAAAATAAATTTTAGACATACAGATACACTCAGTAACAGCCTTAGGGTTGTCGGTGCCCTTAAAAGTATATTTCTTTTTTAATTTTTGCAAGGAAAATAACTGAAAATGTAGAATAACAAGTTTATTACAATATACAACTTAATACAAGCTAAACGGATATTATCCTACCTTAAACATTTTTTCTAGCGTTTGGATCTACAAATCTTTTCATGGCACTTTCTACGCCTATCTTCTATTGACAAAATAAGAATTTAATCTGTCTTGAGTCATGGATGACCACAAGTATGTTTTTATAAGCTTTAGTTTTGGAAGATCCCAAATATATAACATGGTGGCATGATGGCGCCCCATGCGACTGCCCAAGTTGCCAGTACCTTGAGCCAGCCCTAAGTACACTACCATTTTTTTGGCACACTTGGTTCTAAGAATCATAGTGAATGATCCTTTTTGCCAGACTAACAGAATTTACATAATACCAATTCCATAATATACGTCTGATATACTAATTATGCATCTTTCATATCCCTACAGCAACATTGACTTACATTAAACTATTATTAAATGCAAGGCCACCTGGTGATTTAGTCTGGCAAACATGTAAAATTCAAATGCTTACTCATAATTTTTTCTGAATTAAAAGAGGTGTAGAACCATCAATTGGCAGAAAATTGATGGTCTACCTGTATATTATGACTTTTTGTTTATCAAGTTTAAAATAAGAGAAAATTCTATCAGTTACCTGAATACATATAGATGAGTAATTTGTCTACGTTTATATAGTAGATGCTTCTGGTGATGTAGGAATGTGTTTTTGTGTATCCGCTAAAAATAACTTTTAAACTGATAAAATTTGTTGGATTACTAAATAAATGAAGAAAATAAATTCCATCTGTGTGTTTGTGTGTGTCCTCTGTCTGTTTGTTTCGAAACTCCTAGGGCTTTGGAGATAGACCCCTATAAGCATATATATTCTGAAACTACATTACCCAGGGTAGTTGGATAAGTGTATTTCATTTTGATCAAAGCGGAGTGGGTGTCACAAACCCACCCACTGAAAAAAAAAATTTCCCTTTGATTTAAATTAAATTTAAATTTGAACAAGGGAAGGATTCCTATCCAAAATATAGAAGGAGAAAGCCAGAAGATTGAGATCACATTGGTAAAATCATTGAGTAATATTGAAATGCATCATTTTTCTCCACAAATTATTACAATGATTTAAAATCAATCATCATCAATGTGTGGCATGCATCAGGTTGCGGGTAATTCAGTTAGTGTGTATATATATATATATATATATATATATACACACACACACACACAATTAATGGATTGATTTTTAATAGACATTTTTATTATTTTAAAGCTTATTTTAATGGGTATTTGAAATAGACAACCCATTTTTATTTTTAGTTTAAACAGTATGTATTAAGTCTCTCAAATATTTGAGGAAAGCACATTTTCTTTATTAAGATTTCTCAGGATAGATGAAATACTGCACTGTTTAAAGTAAAAATAAAAGTGGGGCATCTGTTTCAAATACATGTATTCACTATAATACCTTTTGAAGTAATGTATGTATGTATGTGTGTCTGTGTATATGCACACTCACACACACAAAAGTACCATTGATTTTTATATATATATTTTCAATTTTTCTTTGGTGTTTGTTTCAGCTTGTTTCTAGGCCTGATGTTGTTGAAATGCATGATGTCACTGCCCAAGATCCAAGACTTCTTGTACAACTAAAGGTAAATTGATATTTAATTCATAAAATCCTCATCAATTTACCTGATTGCACTGAAATGCAAAAAAAAAAAAAAAAAGAAGCTTTCTATTTACTGCAAATAAGATTTCAATGATACGAAAGATATAAAAGAGCCACTGTATTGAACATGTTTCCAGTTTCAGACATGAGGTCAGATTTAATTTTTCTGGTTGCATTCTTAAACTCTATAAAACTGATCTGAAATTACCACTTTTTTTTTTATTTTTATTTATTTTTTTATTTTTTTTTTTTTTTTTTTTTTTTTATTATTATTGCTAACTACATTAGAAAAAATATTTTCTTTTTTCTGTTTTCAACTTTTGAGATGGGTAATTAATGTTATTATGCATTGATTTACTAATGTCCTTGTTTTGGTTATTACCATGTTTCAGCCATTGTACACTCTGGCCTTCTTCAGGTATCTGTTATAGTTGGTAAACTTCTACAAATTATTACTATTATCCACTGATTTACTTGTACTAGTATCCTAATCTTGATTGTCAACATCATAATGTTTAAGCCACATTTCTAACCATCTTTAAGCATATGTAGGCAACATTTCAAGAATTTCAAACTGAGCCTTTTTTTTTTCTTTTTTTTTTTCACTCCCTGGAGATGGATAGTTCTCATTCCATTCAGGACACATGGTATAGTGTTGGTAAAGCAAATCAAGTTAACAAAGTCACTTAGTGATCAAGAGTTCAATCCCTAGGTTGGGTGGTGCCAAAAAGTTATATACTCTAACAGGATGAAGCAAGTGACATCACAAGGATAAATTAATAAGATTGAATTAACTGTTAAAGATGTCTTTTAACATTGGCAGTGAAATGAGAACAATCTGCCCTTGTGAATTGAGTAATAGTTTTAGTTTAAAATTCCCATAAGGTTATCAGCTATGACAGACAGCTGAAGAAGATCAAAAGGTACAACAGCTGAAATGTTGGGACAATAACAACCAAGATGTGGATACTAGTCCAAACAAATTTGTTTTCAATGATTAAAGAGCAAGCCTCTAAATATAACTACACTGGTCATTTCTAGTTTTTATCTAATTATAAAGAAAAAATATTATTTCTGATATTATTCTTAGGCTTTACAATATTATAAATATTTAGTTCCTTTACAGCTTGGACATACCATACTACCTCCACGAAGTCGAATCATCCTCATCAACCCCCCCCCTTCCCTTGTGTTCCAAATATAAAAAGAAAGATCCACTTAATAGCATTTTTCCATAGGGTTGTCTATCATCTAGATCACACTCCTCCCCAGTCTTTTGAAGAGAAGAATAGATCTATCCCTTGTTTCCTGTTTAGGGTTGGGCTCCCAGTTCCCTCTAAAGTCTACTTCAACTTTATACTTTTAAAGTCTCCCCTTAAACTCTGAAATTTTATTTACTATTTATTTTTATTTTTTCCTCAATATGAATAGATAGGTTTGTTCATCATCTGATTCACACTCCTCTCTGTTCTTTTGAACAGGAGTAGAGGTTTATCCCTTGTTTCCTGTTTAGTCTTTTACTTTCTCTTTCACTCCCAGTAACACCTTGCATCTTAGTAGTGTCATCGCCTTGCTTAAATAAGAATTTAATCTGTCTTGAGTCATGGACGACCATCAGTATGTTTTTATAAGCTTTAGTTTTGGAAGATCCCAGATCTTAAAAGAAAGCACATTTTAAAATCTGTTTATGCTACAATACAAGTAAGAAGAAATAATGGGGCTATTTGATGTGAATGTATTTTCACGGTAATTGTTCTGATAAACTTTCCTCTATGGTACCTAGACTTTATGAATTTAATCACAGTACTAGATTGGCAGCAAGGTCTCATCATTTTACAGTTGAATTGGCTAGATGTAACCATAAGTTCTATGCTAATAGTTTCTTCTTTCACATTTCTCACTTGTGGAACTCTCTTCTGGCATTTTTGCTTTCCAGTCAACTTTGATCTTCAAAAATTTAAATGCAATGTCAATCATTATCTTTTGTTTTCTGAATTCCTGTTCTTTTATTGTTCTCTCTCTTTTCTTTTTTCTTCTTTTTCTTTTTTCTTTTCCTTTTCTCTCTCATATTCTCTCACACTCAGTAACCAGTTTTGTCTTGCTTGGGGTGAAATGATCAAAAAAAAGAATATGCAGGCATCATTTATATAATACACATTTTCTAGTCATCATATTCTGTTAGTAATTTCAGTTTGAATGTGATAAGGTGTTATCATTAATTACATTCAGACTAATGTCTTTATTACAATGTTTCAGCCATTGTGCAATTCAGCTTTCTTCAGGTTTCTGTTGATCTGAGTAATTTTCAGGGAATTTTGAACTGAACCCTTTATTTAATCTAGGGGATTAAAGCATTAGTTTATGATGGTATTGAGTTCGGTCACTTGGACAGATAGTGCTATCTGAATTTCTAGGATGAGGAGTTATCATTATTTACATTTGGATAAAGTCCTCTTCTTTTTTGTTATTATCAACATGTTTTGGTTGTTGTGCCCTCTGACCTTCTTCAGACTCAATAGAAGCTGGGTTAGCAATAACTAAGCTGTACTAAAGAGACCAAGATCCCTAGACATGGTCATTGGAATGAGAATAATCTAACACCATAAATTGAATAAAGTGTTCAGTTTGAAGGTTATCTGGAGCAACAGACACCCGAAGAAAGCTATAGGGCACTATAGCTGAAATGTTGTGATAATAACAATAACAATGAGGATATTAATCCAAATGTAAATAATGTAAAGTAATATTTTTTATTATTTCTTGTTCTCTTACAGCATTAAAAATGATTAATGTTATCTAATAAAAGTTTTTTTTTCTCTCTCAAGTATTTTGTTGATATGATTTCACTACTGGATTTAATATGTAAATTAAAAGGAGTCCTCAGCCTGAGAACTTTCCAGCATCTCATCATATTAAATGGAAAATAATTTAAAAATCTCCACATACAAAATGAATTGTACTTAAAATTATCAGAGAGCCAAGTTCAAATTTCAATCAAGTTGATTATATTCACTTATATGCAAATACCCTTGGCAAAGGTATGCATCCATTTCTTCCACTTATGGGTTAAATTGTAGAATTTGTATCTGAAAAATCATTATTATTCTCAAAAATTTGTTAGTACAATATTCACTCACAAAAAATTATTCTTATTATCCAAAATATGTTTCAGCTTTAAATAACCCACAAAGGGTTGATAAACTATTTAAAAATAAAAAAAACAAAAAAAAACAAATCAATCAATTTACTTAGAATGAATTATACACTAAGATAACAAAACCTATTAAATTATTGATGGTCCAATTATGAGAAAGAACAATTTATTTTTCTGTAAACATCATAAAACTGATGATTCATCCAGAAAAATTTCCAGATTCCTTTATGATTTCTCATCTTAACATTCAATTCGGATTTTTCTCTAAATTTTATTGAAATGTGTATTTTTCTTGAAGGCCACAAGAAACACAGTTCCAGTCCCACGGCATTGGTGCTTTAAGAGCAAATACCTGCAAGGTAAAAGAGGTATAGAAAAGCCACCTTTTGAATTGCCAGACTTTATCAAAGCTACAGGAATAATGGAAATGAGGGCAGCATTAGCAGAAAAGGTAACAATTAAATATGTGTATCGGCTACAATGAATGTTTCTTCAGTTATATATGTGTGTGTGTGTGTGTGATGTTCTCTCTCCTATTCACAACTGACTTCATTGCTTTACAATATAACAATGAGCAATGATACAAAGTGATGAACTAGTAAAGAAGCAACTTTTCAAAGGGAAAGACTAAATGTCTAAATTACTACTGAATTGGTACATTTAAAACTTAATAGTATTAGAAGGCTGCACTAGAACAGTATGAGAAAAAAAGGTACAAAATTTATATAACTTAGGATCAGTTGAAGTCATATCCTCTTGGCATCAGTTTAAACTGACACTTTCATTTTTTCTGTAGATTGTGACCATTTTGCTTTTCTTGATTTTAGATAAAAACCTGGACATTTTACAACATATTTTAATGAAATTTTCACTTTCCAAATTATAGTTTCAATGTATATTGAGAAAAAGTCGATGTCAGTTTAAACTGATGGCAGAAGTATATGAGTTAATAAATCTTGCCCAAACTGAGGAATTCAAAGAATAAGTATATTGATATAATAAAATTTGACAATCTCAGGTTATGGAATGAAAATTAATTTTGAGCATCTTGCTTGCTTTTATGAAAATAATAATAGTAAATTTAGAAAAATGAAATTGATTGATTCATTATATTGTTCATTATAGACAAGTAATGAATCATTTCTCTTTTCTTTTTTTTTTTTTTTTTCTAAGGCAAGTAAAAAAAAAAAATAATGTTTTGCTACAATTAGCAGGCAATATAAAAACTGCATGACTTTTCTTAAGGAAAATAATTTAAAAAAAAAATTATAACTTGAATTTAGATTTTTATGAATGTTATATTTAAATATAGAAGAATAGAAACATGCAAAATCTCTGGTTCATTTTTGCTTTATAAGAATTGTTAAAAAAATTAATTACTTTCAAATAATAGTCTATAATTCTTTATAGATAATATGAAATTCAATAAATTCAAAAATTGTTTAAGTGACTTTTAATTTATTGAATATCTCTAGTTATCTATTGAGCGCTTTTTGGCAGAAGTTCTGCTAACCTGAAAAAATATGTAAAATTCTTGTAATTTTCATCTATTTTCTTATTTGTATTATTATTATTATATAATATGCTAAATATTTTTCTCTATTATGTCCGTAACTTTTTGCTGTACTAGAGTTATCTCCATTGCATTGAATATGTTTATGAAACAAGAAATTAAAAAACTGACTCTATGAAAGAACAGACTACAACAGTAATAATTGGGAAAAAATATATTTGAATACTCACATGTGAAAATCTTTTGATAATTATAAGGGTCTTAACAAAATACACATTTATAGTATAGGTAAATTAGATTCTAATAATATGCTAGGTGTTAACCAAAAATCTCACTTCAAATTTCCCATACTTTTTGGTAACACCTCACAGAGCAAATACACACAAAATATTCTTGTTCTATATTTGAGACCCCCCCTACACCTATTTCATTTGCTTTTTTTTATTTTTTTTTGTTTAATATTACAGCATTATGAGGTTAGACATATGGATAGACATTAACCTACCACTTGCCTCACATTTGCTTAAAAATCCAGGAAATGTTTTTCAGATTGTGTTTTTTTTTTTTTATGGGTTTATATGCCATTAAATAAGTTTTTTTCCTCCCTATTTAACATTGACAGCATTGTGTGGTTAGGCATCAGGATAAACATTAACTTACCACATGGCAAAAGTTTGCCTAAAGATCCAGAAGTTTTTTTAATTTTTTCTTTTGGTGGGTTTATATGCCATTAAATAAGTTTTTTTTTTTATATGCCATTAATTTTTTTCTCACCATTTAACATAACAGCATTGTGGGTCTAGACATCTGGATAAATATTAACCAACTAGATGTATCAAGTTCTCATTTAAGACCGTGGAGTTTTTGGGGGTTTTTTTGAGTGGGTGGGGGCTATATGTCATCAAATGTTACATTTAGTTTATATTCATATTTATTTTAAGACATTTTTATGTTTATACATTCTTTTTATAGATACAAATATTTAAGTAAATGCTCTGTAAATGTTGTTTAATATTGTTTATTATAAACAGAGCATTTACTTAAATATTTGTATCTATAAAAAGAATGTATAAACATAAAAATGTCTTAAAATAATTGTCGGACTTTGTCCATTTCATAATGTGTGATTCATATTTATGCTAGTATATTTTCTCTAGACTTGTTCCTGAATTCTTTATCCTAAAATCAAAAAAATTAAAGGATTTTTCAGTTATAAATGTGTGACTGTTAAATTTTCAGGAGGACCAGAAAACTCTGAAAGCTAAAACGAGAGAAAAAGTACGACCAAAGCTTGGCAAGATAGACATCGACTACCAGAAACTCCATGATGCATTCTTTAGATGGCAAACAAAACCTAAGCTGACCATTCATGGAGATTTGTATTATGAAGTAAGTATTTACATATCTTTTGAATTTCTAAGATGAGGTAACTGTTACGCAAATTCTTCAGACTTTTTTTCCTGTCTTTAATGTTTTTATCACTATGCCATTACCGACCAATTTTTACATCTACTTTGGGTGTATAATTTGCCTTAAGAGAGTTGTTATTAAAAGTTCTGTATCTATAACAGGAATGTTCCATACACAGATAGTTTATACACCTAAAAGTCAAAGAACATGTCAGCCAAAATGTAGTGATAGCATCAACAAAGATGAAAAGAGGCTGGCTCCTTTTATATTGAATCAATTATTTTATGTAACTAGACTGGGTTCTCTAGCTTTGGTTGGTAACCAGTCTAGAAGAAATAAAATTCTGAATTCATAGCTAGTTGAATGTGGGGCTAGCAACTTCATTTATAAAAAAAAAAAAATAACTGCTTGCTGCAGAAACCACGGCAGCAACATCTAACATAGTGGAGCTATGGCCCTATATTTCACAGGGCGTCTACTGAGTTAACATATAACTTATCAAAGTTACTAACAGCCAGACAGTGTTTTTATTTTCTACTCTCACTTCTTTTTCACTTTTTTTTAGTTGTTACTAATATGTGATGAAATATATAATCTTTGTTTTTCCTTCCTTCAGGGTAAAGAATTTGAGACTCGACTGAAAGAAAAGAAACCTGGTAATTTATCTGATGAACTGAGAACAGCTCTTGGCATGCCAGTTGGACCAGTAAGTTAGAATATTTTCTTTATCTTTTTTGACCTTCAATATATGAAACCATTTGAATCTCTATTTCTTTTTAGTATGTACTGTTGGCTTGTAACACAGTTAAAAAAAAAATAGTTGTCCTTGCAATAAATCTGTTATTTAATAATTCTTAAATGTTCTCAATGCAAACTGACAATTTTGTTGATGGAAACTCATTTTATGCTAAATGACCCATGCATAGCTTGGATTAATAAGTGCATAAGCTGACTCATACTTATTAACTGAAGTTTGATCTAAGATCTTCAGTGTATAATATTCAATCTGTGTGATTAATATTTACCACTGAATGAAGTGCATTAACAAGAAAGACAATTTTGTTGAAAAATAATGTCTTAAGTAAAATAAATATTTCTTTCTTTTCTTTTTTTCTTAAATGCTTATAGACTTGTAGTGTCCAAAAAAGATGTTGCACTATGTTTAATCAGCTCTCAACTTGACATCTACACTGACGACACTACCATTTACTCCTGCATCAGTAGTAAGGCTGATCAGTCAGATAGGGTCAAAATGGCAACTGTTGATGTACCAAACGACCTCAAGATCATTATTAACTGGGGCCAAAGATGGCTTGTCAATTTTAACACCTTCAAAACTAAACTTCTCTCCATTAATCATCTAAGAGACCCCTCTCTGCCTTCCATCAGATTGGCTGATGCTATCCTCCAAGAAAGTGACTCATTGTGTCTTCTCAGGCTAACATTCTCAGCTGGCATGTGGTAGAAAGACTACATTGAATCCATCGCTCGATTAACTGCTAAGAACTTTGGTTCAATATATCAAGCAGGACAATTTTTCTCTCCAGAATCTAACTTGCACGTCTATAAGTCTACTATTCATCCATGCTTAGAATATTGCTGCCATATATGGTCTGGTGCCCTTGCAATTTTCCTTGAGCTCCTTGATAAGATCCAAAGAAGAATCAGCAATATTATTGGTCCTGATCTAGCGACTTGGCTTCAATCATTTGCCCACTATCATAATGTTGCCTCTCTGTGCCTTTTTTTAGAAATACTTTCATGGTAATTGTTCAGATGAGCTCTTCACAATGGTACCTTGACTATTTTAATCTAAGCACAATACTAGAATAGCAATGAGATCTCATCAATTTACAGTTGAGCTAGCTAGCCATAACTTCTATGCTAACAGTTTTTTTCTCAGACTTCCCACTTGTGGAAATACCTCCCAGCTCCTCACTTTCCAACCAACTTTAATCTGCAAAAATTGAAATGCAATGTCAATTGCTATCTACTGTCCTGATTGCTCTTTTCTCTTTCTTTTCATTACTAATGTTTCTGTTCCTAATTCCCCCACACCCTGCAACCCTTTGTGTACTAGTGGCTGTAAGTTCTGTTTCACACAATGTTTCATAAAAATTAAATAATTTTTCCCAAACATTTAAAACAAAAGTTTTGTTAGAATTATTAAAGTATTTATTGGTCAATGTTACTCAATCATGGAATTTCCAAAATCTAATTTTGAAATTTTTTTTTTTTTTCTTTTTTTTACTGTCATTCAAAATAAATATGAAATTATGAAGTGAACAATCAAGTTAGAGGTTAGAATTAAGCCTTGAAAAATTCCATGCTTGTTTTGTTGATGTATTTTCTAACAATAGCAAATATCTGATAAGAGGTTCAGACATGTGAACAATGTGGAGAATGTTTTCTTCTATGTAGATTATAGTTGCAAGATGGCACTCTATAGAGCTAGCAGAAATGCTTGTAATAATTATTTCATTAACTCAAAGAACAAAAAAGAGAGAAAAAGAGTATAGAATAAAATGATTGAATAAAGCAGCTTACTTTTTTATTCATATTATCCATTCAGGAGATTAGAATATAGATATCAGCAGCTACAGAATAAAAGCATTTGTAAAGCTAATCAGATTCTCTGGAAGCTTTTTCCTCCTAACCAATCAATCTCTTGTTTAGACAAAGAGAATGAGATTGTCATCATAAGGAAAAATAGATAAGTTCTGAAATTCCCCAGAAAAGACTTTAACAAATATAAAAATGAAAACAGCATATTCCTAACAATAAAATAGGGCGTTCTATCCATCGTATCCCCAAACAACTGAATATGGTTGGAAAATAGAATGGCAAAAATATTGCGATAAAGGCAAAGATAAGAAAACTGGATTGAATGAATCTGTGTATTATTAACAACACCATAAAATGTTAGATAAAATCTGTCAGAAAACACTATCACAGATTCTTTTAAGCATTTAAAATAGGTTGCCAGAAACAGAATCAAAAACTAGCTTCATGAGGTGGAGAACTTTTTAAAAACATTTTTTTAAGATTACATATTCCATCAACATAAAGTATTATTGTGCTTCTTATATGATTACTTATAAATTATTATAGAAACCTCACTAAAACGTGCCCAGGGTATAATAATAAACTACAAGGCATCTGATTGGGACGTTTTGAGGAATGTAAAACCACCTCTTAATTGCTGTTGTTCTCAGGTCCACCTTGACCCAGAGTAGTAGCCCTTGTTAGGGTACCAGCTATGGGCAAATAGTGAACCCCTAAACTGAGTTCAAAACACTATGAAAGTGTAAAAATACATTTTTAAATTAAAAACTTCTAGCAATAGATTTTAAATGTAAAAAAAAAATTACTAAGGCTCCCAAGAAAATTAAATTTTGACATTAAAAATGACCCATATGCAGTTAAACAAGCCAAACCAAACCACACTGAGACAATCCAGTATGATCATAGTTGCTCAAATGACTATAAAATTAAAATATTTTTGATTGGCTTTGTAATTTTATCTTTAAACTGGTACTATCACATTATTTCTTTTATTTGTACTGTTTTGCATTTAACCTATTTGTATCGTTACTAGTTTTCACATTATTATTATTATTAGTCTACTGAAGTTTTTTTTTTTTTCCCCCCTCCTTCCAGAATTCAGAAAAGGTTCCTCCTCCATGGTTGATTGCCATGCAGCGATATGGACCACCTCCATCCTACCCCAACTTGAAAATTCCAGGTTTAAATGCACCAATCCCAGAGGTAAGTAACATGTAGAATTTTTGGTATAATCTTTTTCTTTGCTAAAGTATTACAATAAAGATATCTTTGAAAATAACTTTGTTCTTCAAATAAAAATATTTTCTTGTATTACTCCTATCATGTCATCTTGACTTTTTTTTTTTTTCATAATCATTATTCAGATTATATAAAAAAAATATACCAAAATTTAATTTAGCATGAAAAATTAAACAATTAGTTTTGTAGACATTATTACAAACACAAGCTAGGTAGTAACTCACTTCCCTGGATACATAAGCATAATCACACAAAAATTTGTCAACCAGCAACAACTTATATTGACCAACTATGCTAGGATAATGGATGTCTCCCAAATTTTTGGGTGGCATGCACAAAAGATGCTCAACCAGCTAATTATTACAATAGTAGATTTGTTGGAGCTAAAGGAACAGAGTTGTGGAACATAAAAATTAATTCTATTGTATTTTTAAGGTAAAATGTCATTAAGACAGGTTTGAAAAATATTTTTCAATGATATATTAAAACTAATATCATAAATATTTTGACATAGTTGCTAAGAAATCATGAAAAGAATGTTTGAAGCAAATTGCAATATGCACACTTTTATTATGACTTTAGAATAATATGTGCATACTTTTATTATGCCTCTAAAATAAAGTGTACACTTTTATGACTCTAAAATAATGTGTACATTTTTATTATTACTCTAAAATAATGTGTACACTTTTATTATGACACTAAAATAACGTGCACACTTTTATTATGACACTAAAATAACATGTGCATAATTTTATTATGACGCTAAAATAATGTGCACACTTTTATTATCACTCTAAAATAATAGGAGAGAATATCTCCTTTTGTTCTCTTTGCAGCATACAAACATACGAGGTGTGGCACAAATACTTCTCACATAATGGTATGACATTGTGACAATGGTGTCTTCATCTAGCTAATGTCTTGCTATTATGTAGGAGGCATTTCTGCCACACTCTGTAGTAGGAGTTAGTAGTCAAGTGATTAAAATATTAGCCTACGGACCATGAGACCCAGGTTCAAATCTCACCATGGTCAATTTGTCAAAGAGATGAATTCTTGATCATATCAGCTTGGAAAGACAATTCTAACTTGCAGCAATGTTGACAAGTAACTGAAAATCATACCACAGGTTGATGCAAGCCTTGTGAATGAAATTGTGTACATGACACTGTGTGGAAGCCATCACCGGTTGTACTAGAAAAAAATCATTGTAACCAAGCGTTTAAGCCTAATAATCATGACAAAATGAAAGCTCTCTCTCTCGGAAACTGTAAATAAGGTCTGATCAGCATAGCTGCAGTATAAACCAGGTGTTGGCTCTGTGAGTATGATCAAATACAAATGTGTCTGCAATAGGGAATAGTTAGATAACTGAGCAGATGAGCATACCTAGAGACCGGTAACCAACTATTATAATTCCAGTAGGTAATATACATCACTATATTTGGTGCTATGGTTTGATATTTAGTGGGGAGGGAGACAAAAAAACTTCTATTCAATTCTATTCAGTATTATGTAAATATTTTTACTCTCATTTACCTAATGCATATAAAAGATGTATTATAATATTTCTATATTTCTATTTTTTTTTTTTTTTTTTTTTCTTAGATTCTTATTTTATTTTATTTTTTTTCCAGTCTTGTTCTTTTGGTTATCATGCTGGTGGCTGGGGTAAACCTCCAGTTGATGAATCTGGCAAACCCCTGTACGGGGACGTATTTGGAACACAAAGTGGAGAATTCCAGGTAAGAAGAAAGAAAATTTTAATTTTGACAAACTGACTTCCTCTTCCGAGAAATTAAAAAGTTGAATCATTTTTGCTAGTAAGTGATAAATTGGGACAATGGGCTAGATTTAATAATAATATTGATGGGTGTGCTTGTATGTGTTTTTTTAAAGAATTAATAGATTTATTTTTAATCCAACATTATTATTATAGTGAATACTAGTATTTGAAATAAAGTCTTATTTTTATTTTAAATAGTGTGTATTAAGTCTATTCTATCCGCCTGTGGTCTACACATTCCATTTGAGAAATCTTAAAGAAAAGGAATAAAGTACATTTTCTTCATTAAGACTTCTGGAATGTGCTGAGCAGGACAATAGGCATAATACAAAACTGTTTGAAATTAAAATAAAAATGGGTCATCTATTTCAAATATAAGTATCCACTATGTTGTGGTAAGAGCCAGTTACCCTCCTTACTATCATGAATGTAGTCCTGGGTAATTGTCTAGAGAAGAAAGGAAGTGACATGTCTAGCTGATTATTGAATATTACTATCACAACTGACTCTGTCAAGTGTTGTGTCTTGCCAGGCTCCACATCACAACACATTATAATAAAATTTGAAGTAATATATAAGTTGTAGATTAGAATCCAACAGGATGATAAAATAAAAGAACAAATAGGAAAGGTATATCAATCTAACATGTTTCACTTTTATTAAAACTTCATCAGAGATTGAGAGAAAACAGACAAAAAAACAGAAAACACTGGTATTTTCAATTATATTTGTGTCAGTTCTCATTGGTTAGATACATGTATTAAAACCATGGATAATTCTATGTGTATGTAGGTTTGTGAATAATTTTGTATGTTTAAGTGGTCAACAAACGATAATGTGTATTTGTAATTGTGTGCATTTGTCTGTCTAATAGGGATTTTTATTTTGCCCATCTTCACAGGATTCTGACTTTTATGGGTGGCTCGCTTCTTTAAGAATGTACTCATTGTATTAGATAGATATAAGTTAGATTCTTTAAGAATGGATTCAAAGAAAGATGGCAATGTAATGTTTTAGACGTCTGTTTATAGTTGGTAATAATATCATTATTAAGTTTTCAATGAATTTTCTCCTTAAAGTATTATATTCTTTTTAATTAGGTTTGCATTAGTGAAATCAAAGTTATGTCCAGCATCATTTTGATGCAAAACAAGAGCAATTGATTGTCCAAATGCAAGTCTCTCTTGTGTTCATAGATGCAGGCTTTTAGATCATGTGATGTCACCCCCCACATAAATATTTTTGCATTATAAACAATTTATTTGGTAAATGCCGGCATTTGAATTGGTGTTGGGTTTATTTTTCTTCCTAATTATTTCTCTGATTGTCTTGGAGGTGGTGGTAATGATCCTAGTATTAGGGATGACTAATTTGTTTGCTTACCTATGAGGTCATCAGCAGTGTTTTTGCGTGCCTTTTTCTAGAATTCTTAGAATCTGTTCCATTTAGACACATCATACCTTACAGCTCTACTTTCCTAAGATGATGTCCTCTTATTATATCCCCAAGATACAAACCTATTAGACATAATGAAACTCAATAAGCTGCCATTGAATTCACACACGAATTTGAAATAAACAATTCTCTACCTTTCCTTGGTATGTTATTAACAATGAGAAATTAGATTTTAAGGTAAATCATAAACCAACAAAAATGATCTAATCAACTTCTATTTCCACCACAATCAAAAAATAAAGTCTGGACTAGTCATAGGATTTTTTACCTTAGAGCCCTTAGGATATGCAGCCAGGAATACCTAAATGAAGATGAGAGCTATATTGAGAAAACTTTCAAATTTCTCCACTACCCACATCATTTTATCCTCAACACAAAAAAAAAAAGTTGACAAAATCCACAAAACCAAAAAAAAACAAACACCACCAATAACACTTCTAACAAAAATTACACAAAATTCATAATCTAACACTCTCTCCATTAAACTTGCAAACAAACTTGTGATCATATGTAGGCTAGACTAATCTTATTAAATACCTATACATATATTCAAGAAATATGGACCCACCTTGCTGTATCCATGGAGTTGAACCACCAATCACTCCCTCCATATTCCAATTGTAAGGAAGAAGTTCCACTCAGATAGCATTTTCCCAAGAGCGACTGTTTTGTGAAACAGACTCCTGCATGGGTGCTTCCCCAAGAACTATAATCTTAAACTCTTCAAATCAAGGGTTAATTGTGCTCCATATTCTTACAATCTTCACTTTCTACTCTTACAACTTTTTTGGCCTTTACGTGAAAAATCTCATCAGTGAAACACAAATAAATCCAATGCTAATTCTTAAAACCACCAACTCAAAAAATCCACCATGGTTAATGAATCACCTTATGATTCTACTAAACCTTATTAAATACCCCAAAATTAATACAACTTATCTAATTACATGGCATATCTATTAGACTTATCTAATATCCATAATATTCTACAAGCTCACCCAAATCATAAGCATATATATATATATATATATATATATATATATATATATATATATATATATATACTGATGGCGCTTAAAATCTTGGATGCTCTGCTATCCTTAACAACATAACAATGCAGAAAATCTTCAGTGTAGAAACCTTAGCCATACACTTGGCTTTAGATATTATAGAATCCAGTAGTTCAAATAGATTCATCATCATCTCAGATTCACTATCTGTACTCAAAGATCTGAAGAATAAAAACTTGGGAATTCACTTAATGAATAAATTATTAAATAGGATTGACACTATAAGAAAAAATGCCATAATAGTCCTATGCTGGATGCTGAGCCATATTGGCATATGAGGAAAAGCCGACAAAATGGCAAAGGAATCACAGAACATGTGCCACCTTTATATTTGAGCTCTCTCAAATATAAAGGTGGCACACACCAACTTTTGGCCCACCATAAACAGGACCATTAAAGAAAAATGGTAACAGTTATGGAACAACTGTGTAAACAATAAACATCTCAACATCCAACCAATCATTAGTGAAAGACAAATTACAGAAAGATTAGGAGAGAAGCAGTGGTTCTGGCCAGACGCCGTATTGGACACACATACATAACCCACCAACATCTACTAAAAAATGAGGAACTGCCAATATGTGTCCTATGCCAAGGAACCATATACTGTTAAATACATTCTACTAAATTGCTATAACTTCCAGCAAAGCTGAAACAAACTCTACAAATTGGATAACTGAAAGGATCTATTTGAAAATAACAATCTAAGTAACATCATAAATTTCATTAAAGAAATTGGACTTTATTAGAAACACTAAAAAAAAAAAAAAAACTCTTTACCAAATTTGCTTACCTACGTTGTTTTGCAACCAATTTTTGACGTAAAAATTATTACGAGTAATACATTTAAACTCTCAACAAAATCCCCCTTTACAAAATATGTCAGTGAAACCTGATCTACAAAATGATTTCTTACAAAGAATACATTCTCTATTCATACGAACCTGTCTGAAAAATTTTGTTGGCATTAAATAACCCTTTGAGGTTGATATGCCGTTAAACTAAATAAACCAAACCATCTTACTCTTACATTCATATCACACACTTCATTCAGTAACCCTCAACCATGAGTGTCTATGGAGCCTTGTATTGGGTAAACACTATTAAAAAAAATAAAACTAAATCAAAAAAAATAATTTAAACTATACATACACCTATTCAGTTCCTTCTACATAATAAATGCAAATATCACTGTGTCACACTTTTTCAACTTTACTCTGAGAGGCTGTAGCCAAACATATACCATTTTGTAATCAGGATTACTCCATGAGCAAATTAAAAACATTCCAGGAAAGATCCAGATCCGCAATTTTGAAATTTGGAATTCCCAAGTATTCATTACTGCAATAGTTTCAGGGATGATATTTTAAAAAAAAATTTTGTGAGAAATTCTTTTGCACGATAAAAATTTTTCTAACTTGGAAATAAATTTGAAAATAATTGAAATTAATTGCGAAATCCAGCAAAAGTCATCCATAAAATAAAAATAATTTTTTGTATGCAAAGTAAGGACCTATGTACATCAAACTGTCTTTAAATTAAGTGGCAGCAGAAGAATTATCATTGAATTTTTAAAAGGTAATGCAATAATTAAATGCAGCAACCAATTTTGAGATCTGTAATTTATTGTTGCCTATCACATCTACTCTTCCCTACCTATTGTGGTGAAGGCCCAATCAAGAGCCCTTTGCAGGATCTAGCTTAAATGCTGTCCAATATGGTGTCTTTTATGCTAGTTATAACTATATTCTTCATTTTTATTTATAGGTTATCTTTATTTTAGTTTAACATGAAGAATATATGTTTAGCAATGGCAATGATTTTTTTTTCTTTATAGTGTTTTTCATTTGCACTATATGTACCATTACATTTTTTTTTTTTTATTACTTAGATTTGCAGGGAGAGATTATTTGATTGTTTAATCAAATAATCTCTCCCTAAGAAAAATGACAATGTAAGACTTGATAATTTTTTTAACAATTATCCCTTTGTAGACTCCTGTTCCTGAGGAAGAAATTGACAAAAGCCATTGGGGTGAGTTAGAATCAGAGTCTGAGTCTGAAGAATCTGAAGAGGAATCATCTGAAGAAGAGCCTGATACAACAGGATTAATTACACCTGGTGCTGAAGGGTAAGCATTCACTCCACTCTATTAATATCCAATAAGTAAAATGTGGATGAGCCCTCAACAGTCCTTTAGTCATGGGCCCCTGATGAAACTAAATAAAAAGAAAAAATAAACAGAGGAGAATTGTTTATTTTCAGATTTAATGGGGCTTCTTTAAACTAATTTGAAACAATTTAGAGAATTTGGGTACCTCTAGTTAAAGTGGATCTTTTAAATTCCATCATTGTTTTTAGGATGCTTTGCTAATGACTTTGAATACTAGCATTTCAGTATCATACAGTCCCTTCATTCTAGATACCGTCAACAATGAAATTATTCATACACCCATCAATTTTCAATATTTTTATCCATTTCTCATAATCTAATGCCCATATGATGCCAGGTTTTTTATATGTTAATAAGCACAAAAAATAGAATTTAAAACTAAATTTTCAGAACAAAAGGTTAAATTTAACTGGCAAATTATGCAAAATAGGAAAAAACAAAATTATTCATATAGCATGAAAAATAGAAAAAAATTGAACAATTTTCACAATATTAGTCAATAACATGTCCTCTCATCTTTATAACTTGCTTCAATTGTTTTCCAAAGTCTTTGATGAGATTTGAACAAGTCTTTTTGGGGATTCTCTTCCATTTCGATGGTTACACGATCTAATTACTTAAGGTATTTTGGTGACCAATGAGTTATTCAAACTTTCAATACTTGCCATAGATATTCAATAGGATTCAAGTCAGGACTCCTTGAAGGCCATGGCAGAACTGTAATCTTCTTTTTTCTGAAGCCACGCAGTCACTGATTTAGACGTGTGTTTGGAATCATTATCTTGCTGGAAAGTAAATTGCTGACATAAATGAAGATTTAGCACTAACAGTTGTAGATTTTCATCCAGAATTTTCATATATTTTGCAGATTTCATTATTCCTCTTATTGCAATTAATTGTCCAGTCCCCCTTGAGCTAAAACAACCCCAAAACATCATCAAGCTCCCTCCATGTTTTAATGTTGCCACTGTGTTCTTTGGGAGGAAAGCCTCTCACCTTTCTTGCTCCAAATCTTCTGTACATAATTATGTCCAAAAAGCTCAATTTTTGTTTCATCACTCCATAGTACTTGTTCACAAAAGCAATTTTCTTCAAGAACATTTTAGCAAGATTAAACCGAGCAACACTGTGACATGGTTTGTGAAGAGAGGTTCATTGTGGTCAGTTTCCATAGAACCCATTTCTATTTAAACAATGTTGTATTGTGCAAGTACTTACACTAATACCCATTGTATCCAAACTTTTGGCAATGTCTTGCAAAACGACTCTTAGATGACAATCTGGGTTTTCTTCCACGTTCAGGCAAAATCTCTGTCATGCCAAACTGTTTAAACTTCTTTATAATGGACTGTACCATAGATCTAGGGATAGCTAACCAGTTTGAAATAGTGCTGTAACTATTTCCCGACTTGTGGAAGTTAATAATTATTTGTCTCAAGTCAACACTAAGCTCCAATGTGTTGTTAGTGTAAGAATAACAATGGTGAAACTGTATGCACCACGTGATGTTCTTTGCTGGAATTATCACAAATATTCTACTGAATAAATAGTCTAGAGGGCTTCACTGATAAAATAATTATGTAAATTACCTATACTTACACAAATCAATCAATTTAAAATGATATTTTCTACTGTACAAATAATTTTGTCTTTTCCTATTTTGCATTCTAAATTCTATTAAACCAGGGGCCTCTTAAGGCCTGAATCCAGCCCTGCTAACCAGTCTTACTTAACTTTGTATCATTTGTTTATTTCTTCCACTGAACTAGAGTATGTGATATTTCAACCCAAACCAAGGATTGAACTCACAACTGCCAGATAACTAAATATGTTTTAGCCAATGACTCACTAGTTCATAATGATAATTCCTCATCTCAAAAATTGGCTTATGGCCACATCACATTGAAACACCAGTTCCCATATGATGACCAAAGTTAAGCAACAGTGAGCCTAGTCAAATGGGTAAAAGCTTGAGAATACCACATGCTGTAAGCTTGGATGTATAGGTGGTGTAATGGATAATGGCTCAGAATTGTTAATTGGAGAGTCATGTTCCAATTCTTGTTAGGTTTGTTATATTCACTTACTAGCAAAAGCCTCCAGGAAAAGTATGAATCCACCTATTTTCCCCACAGCTATGGGTTAATTAGTAAAACTTGTAATTACTAAACCATTATTATCTCCAAAAAAATTCTTTCAATCTAAAAATATTTTCAGGCTTTAAAAAGCCTGCAAAGGGTTGATAAGCCATAAAAAATCAATCATCTAAAAAATTCTGACTTAAATTATAGATTAGCTATCAAACGATAAGAGATTATCTCCCCTTTTGATTTTTATTCTTGCATTTATATCTAAGAAACAAAAGAATGTGTTTGTTTTTGCAATGCCTTGTATCAGAAAACTTTCTCATTTCACTTATAATAAGAATAATGGATAACTTCAAAATAACTTCAAGATAAATGTAAGCACAACTGTTTGGCATATGAAGAAAGTTATGTTGCTTTGTCCTTTCAAATTTCTTTTACATTGTAGGATTTGAGTCATCATCTTGATGATGTTTATTAACTTATTGTACCTACTAATGCTTCAATGTATATACATATCCTCTGGATTTTTTGTATTGAAAAGAGAAACCATTTAATACTGTAAATGTTATTTACATGTGTTTGAGTAGATTTGCCTGTTTTATGTTGTTTTTTTGTTTTTATTTTATTTTATTTTTTTATTTTTTTTACAAACGGTGAAATTAATGTCTACTGGCCTAAATCACCAAAAGTCTTATTAGAGAAAATACACTTCTCGCTCCTTTTTTCTGGGACATCCTCTTTTAGTTAATTGTGCCTTTACTATTTAGCTATAGAGGTCTTTAAGGAAGGCAAAACTCTATGTACTTTGCCGATAGACATTAATTTTACTGTTTATAAAAAAAAAAAAAAAAGGAATGTCTATTATTTACTGATTACAATAATGTTTATAGTAATAAAGAATGTTGTTGATTAAAAAAATCTAATTTAATCCAAATTAAATGTTTAAACATATAACTTGACCTGTTTCCATTCAGTTTTACTGTGTACAGTGGATTAAGAAAGACTTATTTTCAGCCATTAATACCATTCTTTTCAATTTATATTGACCAAAAAAGAAATGAATTAACACTTAAACTGTTTTTTGTTTTCAGTCTGGTTACACCAAGTGGTATAACATCAGTGCCAATGGGAGTTGAAACACCTGACATGATAGAATTGAGAAAGAAACGTATTGAAGATGCTATGGACCAAGGTGGAGATACACCTGCTTTTGTACACAATCTTACCTGAGAAGAAAACTAATGTAGGAGCCAATATGATGGGCTCAGCTCACATCTATGATATGACTGCTGTAAGTATTTAAAAAAAAAACTCCTTGCAAAATGAAGAAATCAGAGGTTCAATTTACTGACAAAAATAAAAAATTAACTTTTTTTTATGCTTTACAATGATTTACTAAGTGTAGTTTAGATGTGGCATAAGGCCAAAAGTATGGAGCACTCAGTGAGGACTGAACTCACTATTTAATCACAATTGATCTAGTGAGACAAGCTGGCTAACCATTACTGAAGTGTTTTATACTTTATAATATCAGTACCTACATGTAGCTCAAAAATGAAAACACAGTTAAAAACTAGAGATCCTAAATTTTATTCTTATGATAAATAGTAATATTAAATTAGAATTTGTGATGATAATTTTAACTTTGATATTAGTACTAAATTGTAGGATAAGTAAAATTATTTTACTATAATACATCAAATCTCATTTTTTTGTCTGTGTGTCTACTTCTGTATAATTCAAGGGCAGCTACAGTTATGGCCATGTAATTTTCTATGTTTACTAAGGTGACCCCAGGACGACATTTTAGTTTTTAAAATTGCCAAAACTTTTTATTACATGGGCTTTGATTTATAATATAAGTGTAATACTTTTTGCCTATCAGGTCAGCTAAATTGAATTTTCATCTTTTTCTTTTAAGTTTATAATATAGACATTAAGCTGAAAATTTCTGAGCCAGAAACCAAATTTATATCCTTTACCTAATCACTAGAAAATCAAGACTTAAAAATCATATCTTTACATTTGTAGTTCAAGTAATGGCCACTAGATGGCCATTATGTTTTCCTCTCGTAAAAAAATAGTTTGATATTTTACTTTTATTGAAGTAATATATAACCTTGGACTTATCCTGCAAACAATGTTGGTTTCTAAAACATAGTCTCCAATTTTCATACAATCATCAGTCTATAAATGAAAGCTCTGATGCTAGGGAAATTTCTTCCCTTGATAAAATTATTCTCAAGCTTTAATCCCAAAAGAGTGATGGACTATGAACTGCCTTTCTGATTGGTTATACTTCTGCTCCATACTACCAAACTTGGCTACCATGTTGACTGCTGCCTCTTTTGCCAACTGACAGGCATGCTAGTGTATATAAAGAAAGTGTTCCTTTCAAGTCTCAGGCTATGAGTTGATTTGCTATGTGTATAGTAACAAGGAAAGCTTTCAATGACTTCATTCTCTTGTCACTTCAGTAAGAGCTGACTGAATTCTAAGCTAATCCACAATCAAAGCAAAAATGGTGAATGCAATTAAAAAAAATACCAATTTTGAATTTGGTTGAGATCAGACCTAGTTTAGAACCAACTAGTTTATCTCAATTGTCTGCTGTTAGTAGGGTGAAGGGTCAGGGTTCATTTTTCACTCAATCCTTTTAATTAAAACCATGGTGATTCACAAATTTGAACCCAAAAGCCCACTAGAAAAACCAGATCCCAGGATACTTCTGGTATGCTTGTAAAATCCAAATAACCTAAGATTTTTCACATCAACTTTTCAAATTAATTCCCATTTCAACCAACACCAGGTATAAATTTACTCACTTGTAAAATCCATACCAGTAATTTTATTACAGGGCCCCATTTAGGACTTTGACAAAAAGTAACTAACAATTCTGTCTGTAGGGTGGGTTTTTGGTTAGTAAAAATGAATTGATTTTTATAAGTTTGACTGATATTTACAGTCTTGGAATCAATTCCACACCAATGGTGCTCATTATTCTTTCTCAGATTTGCAGACTGAAAGAACTTGAAAAGTAACAAAATTAATCATTTACTTTAAAATCTATAATAAAGGTAACAAATACCTTTAATAATTTTTTTTTATGTTGATTAACAACACTCCATTAAGATAAAAAAAAATCTATTTTTTAAAATAGCATTGTGTTTCAGTATTGAAATTTTTGTTTTTTAATTATAAAACATAAATTTTATATATATAAGATGTATAAGATGACCTTTAAATCCCAAAAATCACCCTTAAAAATGCGGGGGTGGGGGTCATCTTAAACTAAAATTCTAAAAAAGCAACGTTAAGTTCTGAATGATGTTTGTCAGTAGGCTAATCTCAACCTCAGTGCAATAACCAATAATGTACATGAAAAGGTTTACATTATCAAATAAACTGATAATAAAAATAATAAAACCATTTCTACTTTATATATTACTGGCATAATTTCATAATAAATTGCTTATTCAAAGATTAATTCCATATCAATGAAATGAACTTGTATCCATTCAAGCTCAGCTGAGAAAATGTAAACATTGAGTTATGATTGCATTCACAGCAATGGAATGAACTATTATTATACATTATTAGTGTATTTTGTGATTGTCAATGAAGTATAAGTACACTAGTACACCAGTTTTTAACTGTTTAGATATATGAAAAGATGAGGGAGAAGAATCAATATTCGCAAGAGATCATGTGTTGTAATGAAAACAAAACAATGGTTTCCCTTTTAGGAGATGTGTGTAGGAAAAACATAGAATCAGTTTTGTTATTTCATTTATTTTGAATTTCTAAGGATACAGTAAGTAACAACATTTCCAATAACATCATCGTTATATAAGCAATAAGCAGTCGTCTTATACTACAAGTATAGGATAAATTCATGAAAATTTACTAAATTTTTTTTACCTTATCTTATCTAAATATTGCCTTATATGCGGAAATATATGGTATATATTAAAGATTAGTAAAATTGTCAGGCATTGTTTTAATGAAAATATTTTGAATTTTTTTTTTTTTTCTTCCCCACTCCAAGGTTACTGGAATGCCAAGCCAGAAGAGATTTGGTGAAAAGGGTGGAACTGAAGCAATTGAAGTTGCTTTGAATCCTGAAGAGTTGGACATGGACACTGCCGCCATGCAAGCCAAATATGAACAAACGATGCGAGAACAGCAGTCTCAACTTGAGAAGGAAGACCTAACAGATATGGTGGCTGAACATGCTGCCAAACAGAAGGTACAAAATATTTTCATCTTCTTTCCACAAAGAGGACCACATTGTATATTTTACTTATTTTCAGGAGTTGAAGGAAGACATCAATTCTATAAACGAATAAGTTTTAATAAGACGTAACAAAGAGGTGGCTAAAAAATGAAAAAAATGTTCATAGTAACCAGGCAATAAAATAAATCCAGTGAAATTCAAACTCTTAACCCAGAATTTAGTCATTTCCATATCAGAAGTACAATCAAGATATATGCACAAGTATAAAATATAAATAAGAATTTATTTCATTTTTTTTCAGTTGAAATCATATTTAAACTCAGTAGATGAAGCATTGTAAATAATTATTTTTTAATTTTTCTTTCATCTCATTTCTGTTGCTTTTATATCTAGAAATATTAGTCTTCTGTTGTCTGAATTTCTGAGATGAAACATTATCAATTACTAATTTCGGACTAGTATGTCTTTCACCTTACTTTTATACACAGTAATAATTATGTGCATGTTGTATAATGAATATTTGTATGGAAAGTGGAATCTGTGAAGTGAATTCCAATTTTGAGTTATTTGCAGAAATACCCTAAGTAAAGATGTCAATCCATCTCTTTATACGCACCCCCCCAGTTATGGGTTAAATATCAGAGTAGACTGGTTTCTCTAGTTTTGTGTGACAACAGAAGAAAACTCTGAATTCCAAACTATGGAGAAGGCAGCAGGAAATCACTTTGACTGTCTTTCCCAAGAATTCATGACAATTTATAGATAATAAATTAAAAAAAAAAAAAAATCTGTAGAACGTAATAATTTCTCATGTCCTGAAGAGACATGACATTATAAAAAAGTAATTGTGTTGTCTGAACTTTTTAGATGAAGCATTGCCAATTATTATTCATAATTGAGTAGTAGGCCAGGCCTAATTTGTAAAGTCAGCTGCCCTGGAGTAGCAGGTTTCCTGAGAATAAAGGGTGCAAGTTTACATCTCACCAGTGGATTATTCTTCATTTTCAATCCAACTTGCTTGATAAAAATTCTAAAATAACATCAACCTGACAGTTGCAACAGAAATAAGAATAAAAAAAAAAGCTAGTTAAAAATATCAATGTTTAATCAAGTAATTCAGACTACACTTCAATAACAAGCAGTTTTGAATTCAGAGTTATTTTACTTGTATACTGGTTGCCAACCAAAGCCAGATAGCCCAGTCTACCCTGTTATTTAACCCATATTTAGTAGGAGACAAGATGGATTTATGTATTTCACAATGGCAAAGGTGAATGTAAAAACCTTGGCCAGCATTTGGCCTCAGATCATTGATCCCATTTTCTGCATCAATAATTGTTACACTTTGTGCACATTCACCTATGACCAACTCATGCTGAAAGCATAGTTTCTTGTTTGATCACCAGTTAAATTAAGTATTGAGCACAGTCGGTATTTAAATGCAGGACCACATGGGAACACTGGATACTGTAAGCAACCTCCTATAATCTGAAATATATTTGGGCTTTAAATAACTCCCAAAGAGTTAATAAGCTGTAAAAAAATTAATCAAAAACAACAAAAACATACACATTCTTTCTTAGGCTTTGCTTATATAAAATTTATTGTGCTTCTTAATTCATAACTACATTGATTTTTCTGCTTTTTTACTCTAATGCTTAGGGTCATTTCAATTTTGCTAGACATAAAATATCACCAATACTAAATTTATGTAAAATGAGTGCAAATAACGGTTAAGGGCAAAATGGAATCCACTCTTCTGATTTGCCAAAACACCGATAGTAAAAAAAATTAAACAAATCCTGATTGGTTTGAATTCCTACATAGAATTGGATAAAAGCGTGTCATTTGAGTAGATTATTGTTACAATTCATCCAGAAGATATAGCAGAATGCTAGTCCAGAAATGATTGCTCTCAGCTGGGCACATGGGAGAGAAAACCATGGAGACGCAAAATTTTCTATGACCCCAGAATAGACATCACTGAGGAATCATTCTGATATGCAATATAAACCAAACATAAAACATCTCTATCAAGCTTAGAACATTAACAAATGATATTTTTCTTTTATTTCCAGAAACGAAAACGCCAACAAGATAGTGGAAAAGCCAAGAAATACAAAGAATTCAAGTTTTAGATATTTGTATAAAAGATTACCATTTGAACATCATCTTATTGGAACTGGAAAATATTTGTTTTCATCCACATTATTAGTTTACTCATTGCTTTCAATTTTAAACATCTTGCTTACAATAAAAAAATGTGTGGGCTTCATTATGTCTGTTATTTTTATTTGTTTATCTATTTCAGCTGTTATAAATATAATTCAAGGGAAAATATCTGTATATTAATAATTTATACTGATCTACTTATGGTATGCACATGCCTGTTTCTAAGACACATTGACATTCTTGTTGCCGACTAATGATCTGATTGGTATTGAAAAACTCTGTCATTGCCTTCCATGATATTAAATAACATGCAAGAGAAAACTTTAAAGAATGATGAGATATGCCTGCCATAACCAGTATTTAGCCATGAGCAATATTGTTGAAGTTTACCAGAATCGGGGCATTGCAAAATATAAGAATGAAAGTTGGGAAGAAAAATATTTTTTCACATGAAATGTTGCTTTTCTGAAAATTTCAAGAAAATGTTGTTTTTCGTAATAAATTTCTAAACGGATGCAGCAATTTTTCATATCTTAAATAAAAAGGTTTTCAACATATTGAGAATGAGAATACGCCCAAATTTTTAGATATTTTTCTTAATGGAATTCACTCCAAGCAAGGCAATAAAGCCACTAAGACACAATGGTGTTGGGTGTGAAAGAATTAGAAAACAAGAACATTATTAGGGAGTAAGAACAATAGAAAAGTGATCAGATACAGGTAACAATTGACATTGCATTTAAAATTTTGAAGATCAGAGCTGGCCCGGAAAGCATGGAACCAGAAGAGTGTTCCACAAGCACGAGGTGCAAGAAAAGAAACTGTTATCAAAGAACTTACAGTTACATTGAGCCAGCCCAACTATAAATTGATGAGAGCTTATTGCTAATCTAGTACTGTGCTTAAATTCTTAAAGCCGAGATACCATAATGAAGAGCTCATCTGAACAATTACCATGAAAGTATTTATAGAAAATGCACAGGAAAGCAACTTTATGGCGGTGGGAACTTGACTGAAGCCGAGACACCAGGTGCTCAATAATATTGCTGATTCTTCTTTAGATTTTATCAAGAATTTCTAAATATGTAGCAGGAGCACCAGACCAGATGTGGCAGCAATATTCAAAGCATGGACAAATTGTAGACTTATAGATATGTAAGAATTTCTGGAGAGAAAAATTGTCTAGCATGACACAGTGAACCTATTTTCTTAACAGCTGACCTTGCAATGGATTCAATATAGTCTTTCCACTTCATGTTAGCCTGAGAAGACAACAACAAATCACTCTCCTAAAGGTTAACATTAGCCATGTTGATAGAAGGCAAAAAGGAGTCTCTCAGATTTTCATTGTAGTCATTTTTAGGCTCTAGAAAATCCTCTTGTGAGCAAATAACTGGATACTATAAAAAATAGTCTGCACTAAAACTGGATTGTGTTAATTCCAAACAAGATAAAATAGAATAGCTCTGTTCTTGCATTAATTCCTGACCTTACTGAAAACCATTTTCTTATCAATATTCAAAGCATAGCATCCAGAGAGAATGTCAAAACTTGCTCAAACCAATTTTAGGTAAAACTTGCAAAATTTGGCAAAGTTTAACATCTGTAACCTAAAAAAAAATCTGTCAAAAGAACACCACTATTGTTATATACACAATCAGTAATTTTTATTGTTTTAAAATCATTTGTTAAATGTGAAGTAGTGGCTCTTTTGAAAATCAGCATCTGACATTTTACAGTTTATTTAATATGATCGTGGATAACAGGCCATAAAACAATAATCGTAGTTGTATTTTAACACTGACTACATTTGAACCTATTATACATAAACAAAATTTGAATTTTTCATACTGCTCCTCACTTCTGAGGATCATTTTTCCTTCCCAAAGAAACTGCCTGGCAGTAGGGAAGAAATTTGATATAACACAATTATTTACCTGAAATTTGTTTTAAGAATTGTCAGCACTCAGTCTTTATATTGTGCATTAAAAATCATGAAGAAAGGGATTATCAATGGTCAGGAATTAATTCAAGCATTACTAGCAGAATGAGTCTATGATATGTTTAACCATTAGCATTCTGCAATATTAATAATACTTCCCTTTTCACTGAATTCTTTTCCAATGCCTCTCAATTGCAGTATCGTTATTGTTCATTTCACTTAGTTGTTTTCTGTTGCCATAACAGGATATAACAACACAACTATGAAAATCAAACACACTATTGTTCAGAGCAGGATAAACGTTTTGTACAGCAAATGAAGTCACTGAGTGATAATGGTTAATGTAAATGCATTGCTAATGTTTTTAGTATAGAAATTCATAGAAAATAAGCAAGAAAGGGATTATCAATGGTCTGGAATGAATGCAAGAATTATTGACAGAATAGGTCTACATGTTTAATGTAAATATATTGCCAGTTATTTTAATACAGAAATGCATTGAAAGTCTGAAAGAAATGGATTACTGATTAACCAAAAGTTAACGTGCTACCAATAAAAATTAATTACTGATTACTTATTAGAAAATGTAACATCACAGGATACAACTCATTAATTAGCCTTACCCCTCACACTGGATACAAACTGCTGAGCTTGAGAAAAGAGTCAAATACTTTTGCTAGAAATGCCTGGTACATCATTGATGGTGAGTTAAAAAAAAATCAGTAACAGTATTTCTCTTTGTTGCTTAGTATTGTCTTAAAATAATCATATTACATTTTAGCGGCAGTCAGTAAAGAAATTTTGATAAAAGATTATTCAAAATGCCACAATAGAATATGGCTTTTTATAGCTAAAATGAAATCCCTAAAGGTTTAACTTCCAGAAACATATATCCTTTGCTGTTTCTCTTGTGGCTATATGAGCTTCAGGGTGGCAAAATTTAAAAGCCAAGAAAAAAAATGCTTAATTTTTGGGAGGTGAAAAGAGACATTGCCATAATAGTAGGGAACCATTTACAGCTTTTCAAGTTATTTTTGGATATTTTTCCTTCATTAAAATAAACATGAAAAGGGTAAAGGAATTTATGGAGCCTTGCACAGGTGCATATTCCTTTAGAAAGGTTAGTTTCTATGTCACTTCTGATGTGACAAATGCACTTGCTCTATATTTTAACACTGATATTTAAAACAAACATTCAGCAAATTGGCAATTTTTGATTGGCTGTAACTTTTCAACCACTACAGATTTCTTCATAATTTTTTTATTGAGATTTCTTTTCTCTAACATTTATGTCCTCATCTACACACGTACCAAGAAGAAATTCTTTTCAGCTCATGGGTGGGTTTTGATGTTGCTACATACAGCCTGAGAATTCTACTCTAAAGTATTCCACCTTGACATGCAAGAAGGACCTGACTCAGTAGCAGTCATCATCAATAACACCTGTAATAACTCCTTTACAAATCCTATACAGATATTTCTGATCCCAGGACAGATCTTTCTCTGCTCATTGCTTATGTGGTTCAATAACTTAACCGTTGTCATTCTTTGTTATAATGCCATAGTCAGTAATGGCAGCTCCAGCATAATCACTAATCAAGTATTGGTCACAAGCAGAAACCAGTGTGGGGAGTCTTGTCATGTTCTGTGAGCTGGTGTCTGTCAGAGCTTTTGGATTGGGGACAAAATCAGTATGTAGGGAATCATCTGAATTATCCTCAACATAAAGAATATACCCAACTACCAGAACTCTATGTCTTTGATCAAGCTGTCTGCTAGCTCTGTCCATATCATGCTTCTCTCTTATCATCTCTCTGTCCCACATCATCATCACTTTCATGTCACTCCCTGCCATTTTCCTCTTCTGGTCAAGGAGGAACTGCACCTCATGTTTTGGGAACTTTTATATCACAATTACAGGCCAGGTGATATCGGTCACACTTCTTAACTTTGCACTTCACATCCTGACAGGAGAACAGTAGCAGCTACCGATATCAAACAACTCTTTCATTTCTTCCTGATATACGACTTTTAACTTCAATTCCTCTACTGTACAATTTTCTCAACCTTTCCTCAATAGTTTTCTGGCTAAGAAGAGGAACAATGTCTCTCCCCAATTGCTTTTTCCCATATTTCTGAACAATCCTGGATGACCATCTTGATAATCATTGAGACATCTGAAAACTTTACCTTTCCAAAGTTTGTTCATTGGAAGAACACTTGCAGAACCAAAGAATGCATGATCTGTGGCTGCCCTCGTTAATAGAGTAGCAATCTCAATAATAAATTGATCAGTTAACCTGATAAGAAAAGAGTGTGACTGAACAACATTGAATATAAACATTGTACAATGTACATTACACTGCTCCAACACAGCATAAGTAAATTTTTATTTCAGTTGTAAATGTTGGAGACTAAGCCTTGACCTATCATCTTCAAATTTGTCATGGAGACTTAGTAAACCTTGACCTATCATCTTCAAATTTGTCATGGAGACTTAGATATCTTTAAGGAATAATCCATAAAGATTGCAGCTTTGAGGAAAATTTCACTGTTCCCTACAAAATATGGCTACCTCTGTGTTAGAGATACCAAATTGATAACTAACTGGGTTTAAGGTAACAGAATTTGCTGTTGGTATTCATAAGTAAGTGTGGCCCTTATAATTGTCTATTCAAAATACTCACAAGCCACTGAACTTGATCCTCACCAAGTTCTCCATAGATGAGGGTCTGGACCAAAATTGATCTTGTCTGAGAAATGCAAAAATGTATATTATGTAGTGTGATTTAAGTGATATTTTCATAGGCTATTGGGAGTAAGCTAAAAATAATACAGCAATATTTAAGTATTTTTGAAATTGCATTCATTATACAGGGTGTCAGTAAAGTCTGGACACAGGCAAACATGCATATTTTCAAGAAATTTTCAAGAATGTTTTATTGAAATACTAGCAGTAGAGCCCAGCGTTGCCCGGGGATGTAACTGTAAGAGATAGATCAAGTATCCACCATCATAAAGACT